TCATTTTACAGCTGAGGAAACTGAGGCCTGGGGGGTAAGCAGCCTACCCAGTGTCACACAGATGGTGTTTGGGGAAGAATTCAAAGCCAGCTCCTCTTCATTTCCTTTACGTTCGCACTATGTTGACTCAGGTCCACAGTCCCTCGGGCAGCAGGAACACAAGTCCCCCTGAAACCCTTCAAACAGCTGAGTATCTCTGTCCTTGGTCCATTTAGGGGATGACCCCGCTGATGTATGCCTGTGCTGCTGGGGATGAAGCAATGGTCCAGATGCTGATAGATGCTGGAGCAAACTTGGACATCCCAGTAAGTGACCTCTAAGCCCCTGCATGCAGGGCCTTCGTCCTTGACCTGTCACGGAGAGTCCTGCCGGCCCTCCTTGTTGGCCATCTTGGACATGGGCAGTTTACCCACCAGACCCCAAGAGAAGGAGCTCATCCTCTCTGGGAGGGTAGGAGCCCAGAAATGTCCAGGTGCCCAGCACTGGTCAAAGGGAGGTCAAGGTTGAGGTTAAGCCTTGCCTCCTGGGCCAATGAAATGCAGTCTGCAGCAGGCAGCAAGTCTAGCTGGAGCTGCACCCCACCCGCACCTGCTGCCACCTCCCACATCCCTCCCTCCCGTTGTCGGCATGATCACCTCCTCTCCAGTGTGTCAGTCAAAACGGCAACAATGGCCTTTGTAAGAGAAAGTGAACTCTCCACTGGTTTTCCCAACCCCCCCAGGTCCCGAGCAGTTCTCCCCGATTCCCGTCAGTGCACCCTGACAGCCGACATTGGACCTCGCTGACGTTTGCCGTGCTGCATGGACATATCTCTGTTGTTCAGGTGAGTTCCCTGGCCTCCACTCCTTCCTACAACTTCCCTTCTAGGGTTTACACCTGCACCACTCCACATCATCAAGGTTTTCAAGTGTGGGCCTGCCCCTTGGCCCAGGCTCCTTCCTACCACAACTCCAGCCTCAGAGAGATACTTGGGCATCAAGGAGTTGACACCAAGAGAAGGGCCATGCACACCCGCCATCTTCCTCCTCTGTCCTTTTTCAGTCCCATGCCTCTTAAAGAGGTTTCCTTGGGAACTGGGGCATTACCAGCCCTTATAGGGAGCTCTATCCAGTGTGCTCATAGAATTGTATGATTTAGAATTGGAACAGACCCTAGAAATCATTCAGTTCAACAAACATTGAGTGCCTACTGTATGCCAAGTCACTGTGCTAAGCATTAGTGATACAAAGGCAAAAATGAAATTGTCCTTGCTCTCCCAGAGCTTATAATGTAGCATAATGGAAGCATGTCCCCTCCCCAACTCACAAGTTAGGTTCCCTGGGTGATGGCTACCCCAGATTTGGGGTATTCCCTGGACCTGCCCCTCTAATACCAGAGCCCATGAGTCCCCAGTGCTGTGCTTCCTTTTCATTGATCAGCCCAAGGATAAGATTGGCTCAAATCTCACGGTGACAAAAATACTCACAAAACAGGGAAGGGAAGGATCTGGTATCAATTTATAGAAAAGGAAACTGAGGCCCAAAGAGATGTAACTGACTTGCCCACGGTCACGGCTCTAATAAAGAGGAGAGCTTGGATACAGACCCATTCTGTATCCTTCTGACGCCATATCCAGTCCTCTTCCAACAGCATTATTCTGTCCGGTTCTCATTTGATGGATACCTCCGAGGTGTCTGGCTTGCTATGCGTCCTTGGCTCACACTCTTACCTGGCCACAAATCTACATAGACGCCCCCCTTTTCCTCTTCCCCTCACCCTGTGTGAAGTCTGATGGGAGGGTCCCCAAATCAGAATAACCAAGTTGAAAAAGATCATGAGCTCAGAGCCATAGAGGTACAAGGGACCTCTGAGGTCAGCAGTCTGACCCACTCTTCTTACAGACACGGCACAAAGTATAATGACTTGCTCAGAAGCAGAATTTGAACCTAGGTCCTCTGTCTTCCAAGCCAATGCTCATTCCATTATACTGGCTCAGAACCTCAGAGGGGATCTGATCCAACCATGGCCTTCATAAGAATGCCCCCATGGGGGCAGCTAGGTGGCGCAGTGGATAGAGTACCGGCCCTGGAGTCAGGAGGACCTGAGTTCAAATCCGGCCTCAGGCACATAATACTTCCTAGCTGTGTGACTCTGGGCAAGTCACTTAACCACAATTGCCTCACTAAAAAAAAAAAAAAGAATGCCCCTAAAACCTAGTTGACAAGTGGTCATCCAGTCAGTGCTTGAAGATGCCCAAGGAAGGGGCACTCACCATCTCCCAAGGTGGGCCATTCCTCTTTGGGGCAGCTTGACTCATTCCTGGGAATGTCTAGACTTGTGCCCAGTTTCAATGCCACCTCCATCGTCTTGGCATTGGCACCGCCGGCCATGTCGGGGCTTGTCTTGATTGACAAGCGTCTCCGTCAGCAATTTTATGGCTGACCTCTGTCCCTGCCCTTCCCCTCCATCCTGCCCTCCTCCCCCCTGCCCACAGCCTAGTTGGCTTCTCACTGGAGGCAACTCGTCAGATTCCTGGCCCTGAATTTCAGTAATTTGCCTAAGATCAAACAGGATGTGTATGGTGCAGCTCCCAGGAGAATTTCAACTCCTGGAGGGCAGAGATTTTAAATTTTATCTCTGTGTCCCCAGCACTCAGAGTAGCACCTGGAAAAAAGTGGGTGCTCAAAATATTCTTGTTGGAGTGAATTGAATTGAACCATCCATCCCTTCTTTCTCCTTGCCAGCAGAGAAGGTGTGGACAGGTGGGTGCTGAAGCCCGCATCGGCAGCCCGAGGAGTCCAAGGGCAAGGTCTCCAAAGCTAACCTTGGCCTCAGTGAGAGCAGAGTGTAATCCCCTCCTCCCTCACACCTGCTCCCCAGCCCCTGACCTGAGAGAGCTGCAGGCCCTAGCAGCCTCCTGGAGCTCCTTCCAGTATCCAAAGTAGGTCACTGGCCCCAGTAGGTGCATCAAGTAGGAAAGCAGCCTCAGGAGGAGGGCGATGATGGCAGAGGGAGGGACAGGGCCTTTCCTTCTCTGGGGGTTGACTTCCTCTGGCTTTTCCCTCTTAATCCTGCTGCACCCCCACTCCATCCCCCCACCAGCCTGCCCCCTCCAGGCTCACTATAGCCCTCTGCCCTTTCTCTGGCAGCTGCTTCTCGATGCTGGTGCCCACGTGGAGGGCTCTGCGGTGAACAGCGAGGAAGAAAGCTACGCAGAGACGCCCTTGCAGCTGGCCTCGGCAGCAGGTAACTGCCCCCCACCCGCAGCCACCGGCGGGCTCCCCGCACACCAGGAGCCCCGCTGGCCCAGCTGAGGCCCCCGGCATCACAGGCAGTGTCACGTGAACCAAGGAAAGCCCTTGCATGGGGCGGGGAGGACTTGAAAGCCTTCCAGGGGGTTTGGAGTCTGTCCCCTGGCATCCCGCTCTCCCCATCCGTCAGTGGGTTTGTACAGAGCTTGGCACCCAGACAAGACTAAACAGAGAGACACCAAGAGGGAACTCTTGACTGAGCAGGATTTTCTCTGGGTGGCCCCTTTGAAATGTCATGGGGCGGGGTGGAAGCTTTTAAAATCGTTTTTTCTTTTTGGCAAGGGGAACAGTTTGAATGACAGGCTCCCCTCAGGTCCCTTTCACCTTCAGGTTTGACCAGTCAGGTGTCCCTTTGAAGCATTTTTATTTTAACATTATTATGATGATTCCAACACCACCCCACCAAACGGAGCCCAAAAAAATAACAGTTAAAAAAACCAATCAGCACCTCGTCTGTCTGACAAGATGTGCTTCATTCCACCCCTGAGGTCCGCCAGTTTTCTGCCAAGAGAAGGGAATGCCTGACTTTCCTCCCCCCACCCTTTTTTTGAGGCAGTTGGGGTTAAGTGACTTGCCCAAGCTCACACACACAGAGTCTGAGGCCAAATTTGAATTCGGATCCTCCCGACTCCAGGGCAGTCCTCTATCCACTGTGCCGCTTAGCTGCCACTTGACTTTATGTGGACGTGGTCACAGCTCTCTTTGTTTTGCATCAGTCCTTACAAGTCTTCCTCAGTTTCCCTGCATTTTCTTATTTGCTCTTTTCTTATGGCGCACTAATTCTCCCTAACATTCCTATGCCATAGTTTGGTCAGCCGTTCCCCTGAGCGCTGGGCAGCCGCTTGGCTTTCAGTCCTTTGCTATCATACCCCGCCCCTGAAAAAAATGCTGCTGTGATCAGTTTTATATCCTTTGATCTTTGAAGTCCTTGAGATACAGGCCTATAAAGATCTGCCTTTTGTTCCAGGGAACTATGAGCTGGTCAGTTTACTGCTGAGCCGGGGAGCTGACCCTCTCCTGAGCACCCTAGAAGCCAATGGAATGGCGTCCTCACTCCATGAGGATATGAACTGCTTCAGTCACTCAGCAGCCCATGGGCACAGGTATGTAAAGCTGGCCACCCCAATTGAAGGGTCCCAGTACATCAGCCAGGAGAAGGAGCCTCTGCTGCAGACCAGGGGAGGTGGGTAGGGCTGAAGGAGAGAGAAGCAGCATCTCTTGTTGGGAAAAGGCTTGACCGGCTGGGCCCAGGGCTTTCTTTCAGGGCTACTTGGCCTGTGTGGTCAGAGCAGAGGAAAACTGCTATTTCTAAACTGATCCAACCAGTGACTTTTTAAAATGTAAGGACCTAGCTATGAATCAGTGGGACAGCTCCCGCTGGTGGCCATTTGGAGGAATAGCTCTGTCTCTGCCTGGCCCTTCTCTGGGGCCATGCAAGGCTAACACCTTGGTAGCCCCTGAGATACAGGAAGAAATAGATGGAAGTCAGTGGCTGCACAGGTTGGGTTCTTGGGGCCAGTCCTTATTTCTGCCACCTAGCTGGGAGTTGCAGGCACAGTCACCAGTACTGGCCCTGCTCCCCCTCTGGCACAGCTTCCCTATATGAATGACTGCTTTCCAGAGCCAGGCCTCCTGAGGCGAGCCAAGGAGGCAGTGTGGGGCAGTAGGAGGAGCACTTGATTTTCCATTAAAGGCCATGAGTTCAAATCCCAGCTCTACCCTCACTACTCCATGTGAATTTGGAGAAGTCATTTTCCTACCCTGGGCTTCAATTTCTTCATCTGTACAATGGGGGTATTAGACTACTTGATCTCTAAGATCCCTCCCAGCTCTAAATTCTATGACCCTATGAGGTGACTACGGTAGGGTACAAGATAAGGAATGACCAGAAGTAAAGATAACTCCAGGAAAGGTCTTTGGTTCCTCCCTTCATAGAGCAGCTTAGGAGTTCAGAGGTGATGAAAGAAGAATTGCAATCATTGCTTTTTTTAGTGGGAAAGGTACAGGTGAAAGTCTAAGGATGGTACTTCAAAGGCCCATATGGAGTTCAGAGGTCCCCGTGCCCTGCTCAGAGTATCTCCATCATTGGCTTTGTCTGGAGACCTTAGACTATGACTGATGCTGGGCAGAGTCCAACAGGCCTTGTGTGCAGGCCTTGATTTGTCACCAATAAACATTTATCGACTGATAGGCCAATTTCTGGCTGTTATTAATCATTCATTCAACAAAAGATCATTTAAGTACCTACGAGGATCAAAAGTTTTGAACTAGAAAGAATCATGGAGGCCAGTGAATCCAACCCTCCCTCCCCCATTTTGTATACCAGCGAATGAAGAGGCACTAACTAAACCTTTATTAATATCCCTAAACACTGGGCTAATTGTTGAGGATGCAAACACAGAAAAGTTCCTGTCCTCAATGGACTAATGTTGTAATAGAGGGATGAGGAAACTGAGGCACAGGGAGATTAATTATCACACAATGAATATCTGAGGTAAGATTTGAACTCTAAGTCCGGTGTCCCGTCCACTGCATCACACTGTGTTTTGTACTGCATACATCACTGAGGAGCACGAAGAGGATACATGGTCCCTCTGCTTGGGGAGCTATACAGTGGAGCAGAGTTAAGACGTGAGCTACAAATAGTTATCATCCAGGGCTGAATGGGATACTTGGAGGAACACTCTGCCAGTTCAGGAGAGGAAGAGATCCTTTGTGGATGGAGGAGTCATTGAGGATTACCTGGAGGAGGTGACATTTGTCTTGGCCCTAGAAACTTTGGGTAGGATTTCAGTAGGCAGAGATTAGGGGTGGGGATTCCCCCAAGTCGTCTGTGTGCACACACACTCACACACACACACACACACACACACACACACACACACAAATTATCCATTATTTATTTTACATAGGGCATCAAGAGTGGACCTTTGATTTCATGAGGAAACTCTCTACCAATGCAGGCCAGCAACTTACAATCTTAAGAGACTTGCTTGGAGAACTGGGAGGTTAAGTGTCCAGGGTCACACAGCCAGTATGTGTTAGAGGCAAAACCTGAACCCAAACTTTCCGACTTCAAGGCCAGCTTTCTATACACTAAACCACACTGCTTTCTCATAGTTTGCATATAGCTTCTATTTACCTGTATATTTTTCATATGTCTTTACTCATCAGTGTATGAGTTACATTCCCCCAGTAGAGTATAAACTCTGTGAGGACAAGGGCTGTCCTTTTCTTTTTATATCCTCAGTGCTTAATGTTTGTTTTGGTGGGTGGGTGGGTGGATGGATGGATGGATGGATGGGTGGGTAGATGGGTGGATGAATGGACAGATGGGTGAATGGACAGATGGATGGATAGATGGATAGATGGGTGAATAAGCAAGTGATTGATTTAATGCATGCCCCCATGGGGGTTCTCTCATTTCTCTCCTTGCCTTCTCCATTCTTGTCCTACAGAAATGTCCTGAGAAAGCTCCTGACCCAGCCACAGCAGTCAAAGGCCGACGTCCTCTCGCTGGAGGAGATCTTGGCCGAGGGTGTAGAGGAGAGTGATACCTCCAGTCAGGGCAGCAGCAGTGAGGGCCAGATCCGGCTATGTAGAACCAGGATGAAGGCGCTGCAGGAAGCCATGTACTACAGTGCTGAGCATGGCTACGTGGACATCACCATGGAGCTGAGGACACTTGGTAAGTTCTCAAAGGCCACTCCTTCCTGCCCACCTCCTCCTTCCTGCCCACCTACTGCTTCAGAAAAGGCAGAAAGAAGTTCCATGGGGGGAAAGGGGCTTGTTCTGAATCTAACCATCACTGTGTACAGGGAAAGTTGACTTAATCAGTTGAAATTCTAGTGCTTGTGTACCTACTGTGTGCAGAGCCTGTGGTGGACATGATGATGGGGAAGGCAACCTGCTCTGCAGTCAAGTCGAGCCCAGCCTCATGTAATACTGTGAACAGGGAGAGCACTGGGCAGTTATCATTAGGTGTGGACATCATAGGACATAGAGCCGGAAAGACCTTACCATCACTTAGTTAAACCCTCTCATTTTACACGGCAGGAAACTGAGGGCCAGGTAGCAAATGACACATGTAGTATCTGAGCCAAGGTCCTCCCTGTGATGGCACATCTAGAGCTCTCTCCATGACCCCCATGCCATGCTGCTATCTTCCAGTTGTAATAAATCTCATCAGGTCTCTTGATCCAGGCCCCTGATTATGTAGCAGGTGCCTAATAAATGTTTGTTAACTTAATGATTAATGGTCTGATCTCCCCTGATCACAGGCCACAAACATAGAAATGATTCCAGTCAGAGGGATGGAAGGGAGGAAGCCAAGCAGGCAGGGAACATCTGAGGTTTGACTGGGTTGGCCTCAGTTTACCTGTCTATAAAATGGAGATGATGGCAATAAAAAGAGTCTGGGGGAACCTAACTGGTTCATGTTTACATGGGGTTCCCGTGACACCCCAATCCCTACCTCCACATGACTGGGGAAACAAGATGCAATCTCTCTCTAATTGCCAAGAAGTATCGTTAGTTTTCAGTCATGAACTTTGCCGAGCAGTCTTAAATTACTCAGAGCTCGCTCTGACATACTCCCGGGAGCCCGTAAACAGTAATTATGTTCTATCTGAGGCTTACAAACATCCCCAGCAATCTGGCCAGGGAGGAAAGCCCTGCGGTGACAGCTCCAGAGCTCACCCCAAAGAGCGGGCTTTTAGATGGGATGGGAGCTGGAAAGAAAAGGGTTTTCTAGGTGGCGCAGAACACCCGGCCCCCTCGCATCAGAATGAATGAGCTCCCCCCAGCAAATGAGTCTTTGGGGACATGGATGGGGCCAGGGGTTTTCACGCAGAGGCAGCCTGAAAGGACCCAGGCCAGCCCACGTGACCAGCTGTAGATGTGCAGGGCCCGGCTTCCTCCCCCCACCCCCCAGCTCCCACCATGGCCATTCTTCTCACTTGGAACCGGCCGGCCGCTCGACCTCCTGCCTTGTCAGCGGAGGGCCATAAGAGTGAATTAAAGCTTTCATTACAGGCTAACTCCAAGAAAGCCTTTCCCCAAGCTCTAATGGGACAGAGCTCGCACAGGGCTCAGGCAGGGGAAAAACTCTCCATTGTTGGTACAAGCTGCAGGGAGGAGCACAGGAGGTGGGAAGAATTAAGCATGTGGCCAGAAGGCAGTGGGGGTGAGGTAGAAAGAGCCCTGGGGGCTGGCCTGACTGTCCCCAGCTAAGTCACTTGATCTCTCTGGCCTCAGTTTCCCCATCTGTAAAATGAGGGCGATGAACTAGATGACCTCTGAGGTCTCACTCTAAAAGGCTTCTCATAAATCAAAGGCGTGGGAGGGCCCTAGGTGGGCTTAGGGTGGGGAGGGAGAAGAGTATGGAGGTCTTTTGACCCAGACTTATGATTTCATTTCTATAGAAGTGTAGAAAGTCTATCCACTAATGTAGATGGGCAATTCATCTCTAATTTAGGGTCTTGGGGAATTGCCAGGAATACTGAGAAGTTAAGTGATGCGCCCAGGGTGGTAGTACTAATAGTCATGTTGATAGCTTGCATTTACATAGCACTTACAGTTTGCAAATCACTGCACATATTACCTTGTTTTATCCTCCCGTGTGAGAGGAGCTAGCTAGGATCACCCCCATTTCTCAGATGAGGAACCTGAGGCAACTGCTCCCTCTAAGAGGTCCTTGGGTTCTTCCCCCCACCCCCACCCTCAACAGGTGTGCCCTGGAAGCTCCACGTCTGGATCGAGTCTCTGAGGACATCGTTCTCTCAGTCTCGATACTCCGTGGTCCAGAGTCTGTTGAGGGAGTTTAGAACCATCAAAGAGGAGGACTACAATGAGGAACTGGTGACCGAGGGCCTGCAGCTCATGTTTGACATCCTCAAGACCAGCAAAGTGAGTGGTCCTCCCTCCCCTCCCCCCAGGGACCATCCCTCCGGCCCCACCCCCCAGCACCCTCAGACCCCTCCTCCCCATATGTGAGAACCACATCTCTCCCGGCCACCGGCCACTGCAGGCAGGGGGAACATCGGCGTGTTTGCTCTGAGCTGGGGCTGGGGGCCAAGCTAGCTGCTGCGGGGGATAGTGTATGGAGGGACCAGCTTCCCCGCCAAGCCCGGTGGAGCAGAGACAGAAGGCCGGGGCTTCCCCCCGCCCTGCTCCTGGCCTCCGCAGCACATCTGCAGCTGTAACGTGGCGGGGGAGCCTAACCGGGCCTGTCTGTGCCTCCCGCCCCAATACAGAATGACTCCATCATCCAGCAGCTGGCCAGCGTCTTCACACACTGCTACGGCAGCAGCCCCATCCCCAGCATCCCGGAGATCAGGAAGACCCTGCCAGCCCGGCTAGGTAACCCAGCCTCCCTTGCCTTGCACACCCCCCCTTCTCCTTCCCTTTCTCCCCCCCTCTCCGCTCCTCTCCCTTCCTCTCTCTCTTTCCTTATCCTCCTTTTTCTTCTTCCCACCTCGGAAGTCCATCCAAGTTCAGAGACACTTATCTGTCCGTCTCCTCCTCTGCCGTCCCTTTCAATCTTTCCCAACATCAGGGTCTTTCCCAGTGAGTTGTTTCTTTTCATTATTTCGCCAAAGTGTTTAAGCTTCAGCTTCAGGATTTAACCTTCCAGTGAACAGTCTAAGTTAATTTCTTTAAGCATTGACTGATTTAACCTCCTTGCTGTCCAAGGGACTCTCAGAATCTTCTCCAGCACCAGAATTTGAAATTTTCCACCTCTGCCCCCTCCCAAATTCATAGAATCAGTGCTCAAGAAATACTGGACAACATGGTGTCATAGGAAGCCTATAAAATGGAGGTGAAGATAGCACCTGCCTCACAGGGCTGTCATGAGGATTCTAGCATTGGAGATTTAGGGCTAAAAGGGACCCTAGGGGCCATCTAGCCCCATCCCCTCATTTTACAGATGGGGAAACTGAGCTCAGAAAGGTTTAAGTGACTTGCCCCAGGTCCAGTAAACCACGGCGGCCTCTCCTCAAATGAAGTACCATGCAAAGCACTTGTCTGAAGGTTATTTATATGGCTGAAAGGTGATAGACTTGAGCCTGAGCTCCAGTCCCATCACAGACCCTCCACAGCTGGGGTACTTGGGGCTCGTCCTAAGCGGCAATGAGACAAGGGCAGGAGGAAGCCGCGGGGTGGACTCACTCCTTTAAAGTCTGCCAAGTGGATGGGTCTTCCTGGTTCAGTGACCAATCCCAATGTGGCTTTTTTCATAGCCCTTCTCCAGCCCGCTGTGTGTCTATAGTGCTTCACAAAGGGCAGGGATGATTTCGTTCTTGCCATTGTATTCCCAACACACAGTAGAATTTCTTAGCTCACAGATTTAGGGCTCAAAGGGACCTTAGGGGACAGCTAGTCCAATTTCATCATTTTACAGATGAGGAAACTGAGGGAGAGCTTGATGCTACTACCAAAGGGCCACTAGTCTCCATTATGTCATTCATGTGTCTCCAGAAGTGACTTGGGCCCACGCCCATCCCCGTGGCCAGTTCGTGGGCTGGCCACTGTTATAGTCCCATTAATAAGGATAGCTTGAAGGGGCCATAAAGGTCATCTAGGCCAACCCCCTTGTTTTACAGATGAGGAAACTGAGGCCCAGAGAAGTCAAGAGACTTGTCCAAGGCCACCCAGGCAAGAAGGAGCAGAGCCAAGATTGTAAGGCAGGTCCAGATACAGGGCTCTTCCCACAGCATCACACCGCTTCCTACTTCTCACCTTCTAGAACCGGGAGCTGGTGCTGCTAATTCTGAGCCTTTCTTCTTCTTCTGCCTTTTCTCCCTCAGATCCTCATTTTCTGAATAACAAGGAGATGTCAGATGTGACCTTTCTGGTGGAAGGAAAGCTGTTTTACGCACACAAAGTCCTGCTGGTGACTGCTTCCAACAGGTAAGGGCAGCGTTCAGTGACTCCTGCCTCGTGTGACCTGCCTAATGAATTAGAAAAAGAAATGAATGAATGAACAAATGAATGAATGAATGAATGAAAAATCACTTACTATGTGATAGGCACTGTGCTAAACCTCACATGTTAAATGATGGAGAAAGTTCCAGGAACTGGACAGAAGACTAGTAAGACTGAAGTAGTTCCGGCCTTTTGGAACTGAAAATAAAATTGAATTAAAAAAAAAAGAACTCTAGCCCAGGCCACCTCCCCCCACCCCCCTCCCCTGATGCCCCATTCTGAAGGAAAATGTTGTCCTGCCTTATTAGATCTTGGAAGGAATAGAAATCCTTCCAATGCTTAGTCCTCTTGGTGAGATCCCCTGCAGGAGGGAGGCTCTCACTGTTGTTAATGTTTTTATTATTAGAAAACAGCAATCTTTGGGAATGGAGGCGTTGACCTCCTGTCCAAGGGAGCCCAGGCTGCTCCTGCAAAGGGGTGGTTCTGGCCTTCCAGTGTAGAGCACAGCATTAATGCCGCAGCCGCCACCATGGGGATTAATTTGGAAGATTTTTCTGAAATGATTAAGAGGGGTCTTGCCTGAGTGGGCAGGAAAGCAAGCTAAGGAGCCGTCAGGGACCGAGATACGTAAGGAGAGGGACACAAGAGGAGGCCATTCCCCAAACCAGGTTTTGTCTTGTCCGCCTCAGGTTCAAGACCCTGATGACCGACAAGTCTGAGCAAGATGGCGGCAGCAGTAAGACCATCGAAATCAGCGACATGAAGTATAACATTTTCCAGGTGGGCTCAAGACCCTCGCTGTCTTTGGAAGGAAGTGATGCTGCTGACCCTGAATAATGGCCCAAGTCCAAGGTCCCTTGGCTCCTTAACTACCCTTGTAGCCTGAAACAAGTCACTTTAATTTAGTTTGTAGTTTCATGGATCTATGAGGCCAGCTAGTCCAACACCTTCATTTACAGATGAGGAAACTGAGTCCCAGAGAGGAGAAGTGAGAGACCAGAAGGGATCATCTGGTCCCCTCCCCTCATAAAGAGATAAAGACCCAGGAGCACAGAGAGGTCACCCTATTTAATGCCCGAGGTCACACAACTCACATTTCTACAATACTTTGGTACAAAGTGCTTTTCCTCGCAGTGTCCTCATGATGTAGGTCATGTTAGGAATGCTGTCCCCATTTTACAGATGAGAAAAACTGAATAAAAAAGGTGAAGTGACTTGGCCAGGGTCATACCACCAGTACAGTGTCAGACTCGGGTTTAGAACCCAAGTCTGTAGTCTCTGTGCTTTTCACACTATGCCAGGCTGTCTGCTAAACAGGGCGTCCCTTTACAACATCCCCAGCATAATCCGATGGCATTTTCATTGGGGTTCCTGGCAGTGGTGGGGGTGGGGAGGAGTGGAGTGGCTCTTTACTCTTCTACACTGACTCCGATGGGGGACAGATGGGGGCCAGGGTCAGCCCCGTCTGCAGCCTTGGCCAAGGCCACAGAGGATGAAACAGCCTGGTCCAAGGTCCTGTTCCACAGCAAGCAGGGAGCGAATATGGGCACAAAGAAGAATGTGACCTTTCAGGGGGCACCTCCGATTGCTGTGGGGCCACCTCTAACGGGGCCCTTTCTCCCACTTCAATCAAGTCTCCCTCGCTCATGCTGCCTCCTGCACAAATCCCAAGTCGGAACCAGGGACCCGGCATTCGTTCACTTCATGTGACCAGAAGCCAGCCTGAGCTCGCTCTGAAAGACGCTGCTTTGCTTTCTGTTGACTTTCCCAGTCTTTAGTGAGCTCAGGGAGATTCAATCATTAGAAATAGGGGAGAGGGGAGCATGTAAAGAGACCCCATCCAGGTTTCTGATCCTGATTTCTAAACCAGGAAGGAGAGGGGTAGTTAGAGTGGGCGCCAGACTTGCTTCCCCCACCCCCACCCCACCCCACCCGGCCCCCTTTGCCAAGGGGCTGCCCTGAGGCTAACCTGTGGCCTTGGGCTCTCCAGGGACATCCCAGCCTGTGGAGTCCCAGCTCCACAGACCACGTGAACCAGTCCTTCCCCTGACAGAAGGGCCCCTGCTGGTCAAAGCCCAGCTCAGCTGGCCTTCCCCTCCCCCCACCCTTTCTTTGTGCCTCCATCCACCCTTTGTTATGTTCCTTGCCCCTTCTCCATCCGTCCCTCTCCCCCTGTTTGGGGAAGGAGGGGTTTGGTGAAAGGCTCATCTGGACAGGAAACTGGAGGCTGGTAGAAATAGGATCCCCTGTTTAGATTTGTGGAGGGAGCAGCCTTTTCCACTTCGACTTTCAGGAGGCCAGCCCATTGGGGGAAGCCTGGAAAACCCGGCTGGGCTGGGCAGTGCCCCATGGCGGGCCCTCCGGCCTCCCTCCCCCAGGTGGCTGGATTTCTTCCCCTCTGGACCCTCTGGTGCCTCTGACAGCCCCAAAGGCACAATCTTACAGAGAGGAGCTTAGCCAAGGCTCACTGTTTACCCACTCAAGCCAGTTGCCAACCCGTTGCTGGGTCTGTTTCCTTAGTGGAGCAGGAGGGATTTTTTTTCCTTCTTTCTCTCTGAGAGCAGTTCTGTGTGAGCTGGGCCCCAGCCTCCCCAGTGGAGAACAACACCCCCTCCTCCCCTTTCCCATTGCTAGTCTGTCAAGGAACCCCAGAGAGACCCCCTCCTGAGCTCCTGTTCTCCCCAGCGTTTGAACTTGTGCCACTTGGAAAGACTTCCCCCTCCCTGCCAGGTTTATCCCAGGCCATGAGGCCAGATTTGGTCTTGAGCCCCTCCCTTCCCACCCCTCCTCCCTGGCTTCTGCTCCCAGGGACCTAAAACCAGCATGAGCATGCCTCTGGAGGCCTGGGTGTCTTCCAACCCAGTTGGAGGAGCAGGGTGTGACCGTGGGCCCCAGGCTTCATCAGCTGGCCTGAGACCTGGGGGGTGATAGGAGAAACACAAGAAAGGCTCCCATCTCCTGAGCTTCCAGGCAGAGGTCCATCTCTCCCCCCAACCAGGATATTTGGACTCTAGGTCAGGAAAGGACAAACCTGGGACCCAAATGATTTTTGTAGGATCAGATCTCAAGCTAGAAGGGACTTTGAAGGTTATCTGGCCCAACCCCCTCATTCTACAGGTGAGGCCCAGAGTGGAAGATGCCCAAGGTCACGTCGGTAGGAGGATTCAACTCCAGAGCCCCAACTCCAAATCCAGCCCCATTTTCCATTACACCGTCTGCCTCAAAAGCCTTAAAGTTTTGGTCTGTTTTTCTCCCAATCGTGCTTTTAATCTGTGGGACCTGTGGTGGAAACTCAGATAAAGCAGAGGAGCAGGAGGAAGGGATGATCCGGTCAAGGGCAGCCAGAGAGCAAAAGCCAGTCTGCGTGCTTCCTACGGCTCATGTGTCGGGCTACCGTGCTGAGACCACAGGGTTTCATGCTTCATGGGGTCCGGGAGGACACCCTTGATCAACTCCCTTATTTGGTAGATGAGGGAACCGAGAAGTCAAGTCATTTGCTCAGCCAGGTAGAAAGTAGCCAGCCTGGAATTTGAACCCAGGCATCTGGAGTACCGATGAAACATTCTTTTTTTAATACACAAAAAAAAGACAGAAGGAAGTTCAGAAGAGAATTGACAGTTTTGTCAATGCATGGGTTTTGTTTTGTTTGGTATTTTTGAGAAGAGAAAGATTGCTGAATTTGGACTCAGAGAACCTAAGTTGGAATCTCATCTCTTCCACCTATGTGACGTTGAACAAATCACAATTCTCTGAGAATCGGTTTCCTCATTTGTAAAAAGGAGAAGGGATTGGACTAGAGGATCTCAAAGTCTTTTCTGGCTCTCCAGCTCTGACCCTGTGGTATTTTAATTCTCCGAACCTCAGTTTCCTCATTTGTAAAAAGAAAAGGTCGGACGAGATTACCTCGAAGATCCCTTCTGGCTCTTGATCCGTGACCCAAGAATAATCCCTGTGCAAACACCAAATCTAGCTCTCTTCCCAGTCACGCTCACTGCCCCACAAAGCCACTCATGGTTGGACTGGCCTTCACGTTGCACCCCCTCTGTTTCAGCTGATGATGCAGTATCTCTACTACGGAGGAACAGAGTCCATGGAAATCCCCACCGCCGACATCCTCGAGGTGAGCCTGATGCTGGCATCATCCCAGTGTCCCATGGGGGTAGGTGGGGAAGAGGCGGCTTGTTTCCACCTACCATCTCCCTTCAGTATGGGGCGTGTTCCACCTGGCCTTCTCCCTGGAATGATATGTCACTGTCAGGGGCAGTTCTTTGGGAATTCCCACAGCCTATTTTAAGAGATTGTCCCAGAAATGCACCTTGAGGGGTGGGAGGAGGTGTGTGCCAAGGGCAGTAGAGCCTCAAGCCTTTAGGAGATGCCCGCAGCTGAGGTCACAACAACCTTGCTCTTGACTGTCCAGGAAAGAAACTCACCTTCTTGTGTTAGAAACATCAGCCAAAAGAGAACAGGATTCTGAGGGAATTAGTTGTGACCACCACAGAGCGGATCCTCAGAGGGGCTGGTAATGTTACAATGTCAGAAGGCATAGCCTCCTCCCTGCCCAGCTCCTCCCAAGAGGTCATCTGATCTCAGGCCCTGCTTTCTTCTTTCCTACCCCGAGGCCACCTTGACACTTGAGCACGGGTCTTCTTCTGGGAGGTCTTCCAGCACAGGAAACCCCAGCCATCACCGTAGATCCATGCCAGGGTGCCCCAATCCCTAGGGTACCACAGGCCTGCAGGGTAGGCAGAGTTGATAAGCAATATGGCTCCCAGAGATGGAGGTAGATGCTGGCCTCCTTCCACTTGAGTGCCATCTCTAGGGTGAATTTAGACTGCTGTAGAGAAGAGGGAGAACAAGATTGCTGGGTTGCTCCTGCATGGCGATGCCCTGGGGTGGGCCAGCCAGGGCCTTCCTGAAGACTGATGTGCACATCTTTGCCCCCATAGCTGCTGTCGGCCGCCAGCCTGTTCCAGCTGGATGCCCTTCAGAGACACTGTGAGATTCTGTGCTCACAGACCATCGGTTTGGAGAGCTCTGTTAACATCTACAAGTATGCCAAGGTACAGAAGAAAGCACCGTCCTTCCCAACACCATCCCCTATCCCCAAACATGGCGAGCAGCACGAGGCCCGTCCAACCGGCTCTGTGAACTTTCTGAGAAAACAGAGCTGCCATTTTGGATTGCATTTGCAAGCGAAGGGAGGATTGGAGGGAGTTGAAGGGAGGGGGCATGCCAGTTCCTCATTGCCACCTGGATTGCCTCTCATCCCTGGTACCTTCACTGACAAGTTGGTGGCCCCTTGTTTGTTCATGAGCCAAAACACCATGCTCTGCTATCTCCCACTGTGACCCCCCTCTGTCCTTCCACAGCATCACTGTGGACCCTAAGACATCCCTCTCTCCTGTTTTTTCTCATACATCCGACTGAGGGGCAGGGAACTCTTTTCAGTGCTGGGACCTTAGAAACCAGGCAGGCTGAGGAACTGAATATAGCAACTCATTCTCAGAAATGTTCCAGGGTCTGCCCTTCCTTCTCTTCACGTGATAATCCACCATACTTGACAGGGAGCATAATGCTATACTTGGAGTCAGAGAGACCCGAGTTCGTATCCCACCTCAGATATTGACTAGCTGTTTTCTGGGAAAGTCACTTCACCTCTGCCTGCCTCAGTGTGCTCTTCTGTGAAATGGGGATAATAATAGCACCTACCTCCCAGAGTTGTTGTGATGATCAAAGGAGATATTTGTAACATGCTTTGCAAACCTGAGAGTGCTTTATAAATGCTAGCGGTTATAATTGTTATAATTAATGACCTACCTCAGAGGGTTATAATAAAAACCAGTGTGTTTTGCAAACCTTAAAAGTTCCCTAGAAATCTAACGATGATGATGATGATGATGATGATGAATGGGGAAATAAGTAGAGTTTCTAGGGCAATAGGAGCCTCCAGGTGGCATGGAGAAACATCCGGTAAGTTGAGATGAGCAGTGATACCTGCCTAGTGTGTGTGTCCACGCACCCCTCGGCAGAGGGCCCAGAGGAGGGCGGTGCCAGAGAAGGCTGGGTGCCAAGCCATAGGCCTGGCCCTGTGCTAGGGAAGCGATTGAGAGGGTGGCCAGAAGATTTCTGGCGAGGCAGGGAGACATGAGAATCTAAGGGGAGGAGAAGCCCAGGTCCACCATGGAGCACAGCTGCGGATCTTGGCAGTCTGGGAGCTCCCTGGGAGACAACAGGATGAATGGTCAGAAAGCAAACTGCCTTCAGATTGAGCGAGAGAGGCGCAGTCGGGAACGAGAGAGGGGCCGGTGTGCCTCAGGCTCTGCTGAGGTCAGACCCCATCTGGAGCATCGAGGGCAGGGCTGGGCACCACAATTCAGGAAGGGCAGCCAAAGGAGGGAGGCAGAATGGCCAGGGGCCCAGAAACGCTGCCCTTCCCGGGACAGCTCAAGAAACTGGGGCCGTCCCACCTGAAGAAGAGAAACCTTAGGAAGGGTGGGGCATGACGGCAGCCTTCAAGTGTCTGAACAGCCATCGGGGAAAGAAGGCAGAGACTGATTCTGCTTGGCCCCAGATGGCAGAACCTGCGAGATTAGAAATGAACAAATGAGATCAGATAATAATAACAACCACAATGATAATAATAGCTAACATTTACATAGCACTTACTATGTGCCAGTCACTGTGCTAAGCCAACAAATTTTATCTCGTGTAATCTTCACAACAATCCTGGCAAGTAAGTGCTATCCTTATCTCTATTTTACAGTTGAGGAAACTAAGGCAAACAGAGGTTAAGTGACTCACCTAAGGTCATACAGCTTGTGTCTGAAGATAGATTGATAGAGAGATAGATAGATGGATGGATGGATATAGGGATGGATGGATGGATACAGGGATAGATAAATAGAAGGATGGATGGGTGAATGGATAAAGAGATGGATAGATAGATGAATGGATGGATAGAGAGAGACAGACAGGAAGAGACAGAGAGAGAGAGGCGATAGACGGGTAGGTAGAGAGACAGACAGAGATAGGTAGATAGTGAGACAAAACAGGAGGCAGGCAGGGAGAGAGGGAGAGGAAAAGGCAGATAGACAAATCACTTTGTCCAGGCTTCACTCATCCACAGTATGTTGAGTGCACGTTAGGTACTCATTTACCAAAAGGAGATAACAGGAAATAATGAATTATGGCACCTGCCCCAAGGAGCGTCTACTCTAGCTAGAGAGATAACACTAGCCCAAACCCTAACAGTTCAAGGCAGTGCCAGGTTATGGGCCAGTTGTTTTTCAGTCGTGTCTGACTCTTTGTGACCCCATTTGGGGTTTTCTTGGCAAACATACTGGAGTATCTTCAGCTCATTTTACAGATGAGGAAATTGAGGCAAATGGGGTGAAGTGACTTGCCCTGAGTCACACAGCCAGTAAGTGTCTGAGGCTGGATTTGAACTCAGGAAGAAGAGTTTTCCAGACTCCAGGCCTGGCGCTCTATCACTGCACTACCTAGCTGTCCCCAGTGAGTAAAAAAGACAGGTCCTAGGGTACCAGGTTCCTCCAAGCTGAGATTTGAGCTGGGCCAGGAAGAATGTGGGCCAAAAACCCAACTTTGACACATCCTAACTGAATAAACTGTGCTGGGTTCTAAGGTTGCAAAAATAGAAACGAGAGCCTGCCCTCAAAGAGCTTACTTTCTCCTGAAGAGGACAATGTATGTACTTCTAAGTAGATACAAAATCACTTCAAGAGGGGCAATGCTAATGGCCGGCAAGGGCCTCCTATACCAGGTGGCATCCAAGTACGGTCGCCCTTTTTAGATAAGACAATGAAGTAAGGCAGCGCTCAGCTCACTTAAATGGCATGTCTGAGGTCATGCAATTGGGCCAGGTTTTTAGGCCACGTTTTCTCCACTGCCCTGGCCTTCATTACCCCCCAGCTCGACTCTGCCCAGCCTCACCCCATGGCAATTCTTCCCCTATGCAGATCCATAATGCTCCCGAGCTGGCCTTGTTCTGCGAGGGCTTCTTCCTGAAGCACATGAAGGCCTTGCTGGAACAGGACTCCTTCCGGCAGCTTATCTACGGCCGCAGCAGCAAAGTGCAAGGACTGGACCCTTTGCAAGACCTTCAGAACACACTGGCCGAACGTGTGCACTCAGTGTACATCACCTCCCGAGTGTGAGGAGGCACAGCCAGCCCCATGCCCGGCCGCCCTCGGGACAGCTCCTTCCCGGCAGATCTCCAGTGTCCCCAGGCCACCCACTGCCCGCCAGCCTGGCCAACCTTCCCACAGGGGGAAGGGAGACAGCTTGGCTTCTACACACTCATGCCAGGAGGCACCAATGGCAACTGACCCGCCATTTTGTTGTGGGGAAGGTCGGCTGGGGATCTTTCCCTCGGGATGGTGTCCTGAACACTATGGGGTGACTATGAGGGAAGGAGAGGGTTGTGGCAAAGACTAGCCAGGAGGGCACCAGCCCACATTATCCGAGGGAATCCCAGTGCCCCAGAGAAGTCCTGTCTCTCCATGGCAGGGATGGTGCCGACGTCATGTATATATCTCTAGTTGTCTGTCCATCTCAGCCTGCCCCTGGCTCAGGCTTGCCCCGTAGGTGGGACTTGTACACCACTCACTCAGCTGAAAGGGTTGATGCTCAAAGAGGCTAAACCTATGCTCTTCTGCCACTGAAGGTGGGGTTTTCATTCCCGCCTCTCGCCATGTTAGCACCAAAAAGCCATGCGCTGCCACCCTTGTACTTATGTTCAAACCCCCTCCCCCATAGGCAGTTCCAGCTCTGAAGGGTGATCACCAAATGTGGACAATTTAACCTGACTCTAGACCTGCCTTTAACCATGCTCTGCCATGGCCAGAGGATTTTCCTGTAGACCACGCCCAAGTGCCCTCCGTCTCTCCTCCTCAGTTGGATTCCATGGATGACAAGGGCTGTTAAGGGGATGGGGGTACCTGACTGTGGCTTTCAGCAGAATAACGTGTCAGGATCGCAGCGAGTGCTATGGAGGCAAGGCTGCCACAGTCCCCTGGCATTTTCCTCTACACCCTGCCCTTGAGAGGGGACTGCCTACGCTCCATATGGGACTGAATTCTCCATACATACAGATGTTCACTCTCCAGCCTCCTTCTGGTCAGGGACTTTGGGTGGATAGATCAAAACAGACCCCTGCAAGTCAGGGCCAGTGACTATCAGAAATCTGCCTTCCCAAGATGACAGAGGGAGACGTCTAGCTTTTAGTCTGAAGGGAAAGGAAAGTAAGTGGAGGAAGGTAGGAGAGAAGATGACAAAGCAAGGAGGGCTTACACTTGCTTCTCTGGATTTCATAATCTTCAGGGGCCCAGGGAACATTGGCCATGGTGAGAGAGGTCAGGTGTGGACCAAGGCTGAAGCAGAACATTGATTGACAGGCCATCTTAGGCCAGGACCATTGCTACTAGCTCAGTCTGGAGAGCTCAGGTTGGAAAGAGCCTGTCTTTTGTCTTAGGAATGGGGAAGAGAAGGAAGAGGACCTTACGTTTTTCTTGGCGATTCATAAGAGATACAATTGGCAGGAAGGAATACTACCACCACATTGGCTAATGAATAAGAAAGGTGGGGTATCTGCTGTATTCCACCACCTAGTCCAGGAGTCCAGACCACACACTCCCTCAGCTCACTGGCCTCCTAGACACGTGAAATTCTGAGAAAGCCAGGCCACTTGCACTGGTTGTACATACCAGAACACACAAGAGAGGGTGCATGGGCAACTCTTTCTGTGGGTGTCCAGCTTGTGCTTTCTTAGAGCTCTAATAGAATTTATTTATTCACCCAAAGCCACACGTGGGCTTTTCGGGAGGGAGTGTCCTTGGGGCAGCCTGGGAAAAAGCCCTGAATGGCTTGAAATACTGGAAAATAATTTTCAAATAGCTGCTTCGGCAAGATGTACAAAGGTATAGGCATTATTTTATTGCTGTAATATTGTATGATATGTTAACTGTACATTAATTCATGCTGTCATTTATTGTAAATGTATCAGGGTTTTATTAACAATAAACACTTGTTAACAATGAATCTCTGTGCTTGGTCTGAGTGAGGTGAGGATGTGTGCACGTGTGTGTGGGGGGGGGGGCGGGGATTGGCCCTCATTTAAGGCTTTGGTTGGGACAGGGACAAAGTAGGCCTTCGTGTTTGGGGTCAGGAGAACACAGGATGTCCTGTGGGTAAAGGCCAGCCTTGCAGGCCACTGGGAGCCACTGGAAAAAGCCCTAGGTTTGGAAGGACATGACCTAGGTTCCCGACCCAGCTCTGGCCATTAATAACATGACCTTGGGTGAATTGCTTTCCTCCCTTGCACCCCAATAAAATGAGGAGTTTAGGCAAAATGATCACTGGGGTCCTGTCCATCTCACAATCCCAGGCTTTCATGCTCCTGTGACCTCGGTGGTCTGGGTCAAATTGCTGTTTCTCCATTGGTGAAATAGGGGAACCCTACAATCTTATCAGGGGCAGATGGTGCCCTGATGACAGATAATTACAGTTTACATTTATATTAGGTTTAGGCCTGGGTGTGCAAAGCACTCTATAAGCCAGAGGGAGGAGTTTATCAACCTCAAAACAGCATGGTAAAGTAGGGAGGGATTACAGGTTTGTGTTTTGTTTTGTTTTGTTTTCTCTCTGACCTGTAGTTTAATGGGTGTTAGGAGCTCCCGGAGGTCAGTATCTGCTTTGTTAACTTAAACTCTTAGGCGCCTGGAGGCCCTGAGTCAGCCAGGATGGAGCAGGAGCAAAATTTGAACCCAGGCCTCCCTGACTTCAGTCCAGCTCTCCACAGGTATGATTATCACCTTTAAAGCAAAAAGATAAGGGGTGGGGAAGCTGCGGCCTTGAGGCCACATGTGGCCTTTTGACTGAATCTAGATTTTACAAAACAAATCCTTCTAGATTATTGTCCATCTGAGCCTCTCTGCTTTCCTCCCCCTAAAAAAGAGCCCATTGCAATGACCGAGCTCCCATAAGAGGTCGGAAAGGAAGGAATGGGCACGTATAGTGGCAAGAACACACAGTCTGAGTCATGACCACTCTGCTACCAAACTAACTTCGGAGGAATCACTTCATCTAGGTGACCTCGGTCTTCCCCAGCTGTAAAATGAGCATCGTAATATTTCTACTATCTACCTCACCGGAGTTGCTGTAAGTCAACTGAGAAAAGTGCTTTCTAAACCTTAAAGAGGTATCTGCCCCCCTCCTTCCCCAATAGAACGTAGCTCCTTGTTAGATATTTGTCTTCTAGTTCAAATGCCTGACAGGTCCTCCTTAATGCTTGTTGAATATGTTATTATGTATTCTTTTTATATATATTATAATTTTATCTTTCCATTCAATTATAAATATAAAATTTATGTTTACATATAAATGTCTATTATACATTATATATAAGTTTTGTGTGCATATACATATATACATATGTACATATATGTACATAAACACATGTATGTATATATACCCATGTACACATGGTAGCTCTGTCATTTCTAAGGTCCCTCCAACTCTAATCTCATTTTTGGTGGAGGCTGCAAACCCCAGATTATAGTATCATAGCGTCCAGAGCTAGAAGGAACTTCTGAAGTTATCTGGTTCATTTGACAGATGAGGAAACTGAGACCCTGGGAGGGTGACTTGCCCAAAGTCACATAGTAAGACTTCTGGTCCAACATTTCTTTCCTCAGCAGGAGACAGGGAAGTGTTCTGGAGGGATGAGGCAGGGAGACACTGGTGTACCTACTGAGGATGGTGTTCTTCCTGAAATTCCCATACCCTGGGCCTTAGACACATGCTTTTTTTTGGGGGGGGGGGTTGCTTTATTTATTTACTGTTAGGCCAGTGTTTAGTAAGTGTTTGTAAGCCAACACAGGTCACTCGCACTCCTCCACCCTGAACAGCCCTGAGGCTTCTCCTCCTCCGATGATTCCTCCCACCATCTGGGGTCAGGATCAGGAGAGAATGGGGACCCGATTTTCTCCCGGGCAGTGCGGTAGAGTGGATAGAATCGTAGGCCTGAAGCCTGGAGCCTTCGGATTCAAATCCCACTTCCAACACTTTCTAGCTGTGCTGTTAAAATTTCTCTGATCTTCTGTACCTTCATTTGTGAAATGGGGATGATAATGGCTCTCACCTCACCGGGTTATCATAAGTACTTTGTAAACCTCAAACTGCAATATAAATGCTCACTATTATTATTAGCCTGTAGTATCTGTTCTCTCACCACTCTGTGTTTCCCTTTTAAAGATGAGACCCACCCAGGTAGCAAGGAGCAGAGGGAAGATTTGAACCCAGGTCCTGCCTGTAAATCCGGACCTCCTCCCACTAAACTCTGGTCGCTCTCTGCCTGACAGTCCTCTAGAGTTTCACAGATGAGCTTGTTGCCAAAGGCAGCCTCTAAGCAGCTGCCTGTTTATCTGATGGCCTGAGCTGGCCTGGCCTGGCCCTGCTCCCCCTCAGCTTGGGTTTCCAGAGATAAGGATGAAGCTAGGGCGGATGATTCAGGTGTGAGCGGCTCCCCAGGCTGGTTTTTCATGGACTGACCACATTCTAGGCCAAAGATGGTCAATGAAAATGCTTCCTGCCTGAGGCATGGTGGAATGAGGTCACTGTGTTAAGGGCTTGATCAGGGAGAGCTCTAGAGGGGGCCTGGAGAGCCTGGACCTGCCGTTGGGATGGGGCTCATCCCAAAGGCCCATCCACAGAGGATGCGATTTCTTTCCTCCCTGCCTTCTTCCCCTCCAACCTCCCATCTATCCCAATCAATGGCGGCCTCTTTTTGCCGGGTCTTGGGTCCAGGATCAGGCCCGGGAAGAGAAGAATGGAGCCTTCCAACGTGAGGTCATGTCGCCCTCTGGGGGCCAGATTGATGCTCAGCAGATCCAGAAAGCCCTTTTTCTTCTATCAGATCTATAAGGGCCAGGTCTCAGCTAGGGACAACGGAATGAATTAACCCCCCTACTGGTGGCCAGCCTTGGCATTCGGGGAGACCCAAGTTCAAGTCTAGCCTTGAACATACACTAGTTGTGTACCCAGGGGAATATTCAGGAAACTCTCTAAAAGTATAGTTACCAATAAGGTACTAAGCCACATTGGTGGAAAAAGTTTTTACACTAGATGTTCCCTCCATCAATAATCAATAGATGAGAACCTGTTATGTCCTAGATACTGGGGATACAGAGGCAAAGGCAAGAGAATCCATACCTTCAAGAAGGAAGCACTGCGAACTCGGATAAAGTCATTGGCCCCACATGAACCCAGGGCTCCATATGGCACCCTGCCCTGTACAAGAGACCCAATCCCTCCAGTGAAAGTTGTCCTTCCCCCCTCTAAATTTCCTCCAGACTTGTCTACTCCTCTCCTTTGAGCCCATCACATTTACCATTTATTTATTAGGGTTCATTTCATAGCCCCACTCCCATCTCCTTGCATATAGATGTTTAGCAACAAATGTTTGTTGAATTTATTTGTTGAAATAAATCTTCATTCTTACATATAGGAACTGAGGAGTGTTTGCTGGGGCTGAGAAGGAGAAAGAGAGAGATGTCCTTAGGGTCCAGAGACCCTAGCTGGTAAGGACTGCAGGCGGACCTTCACTCAGCTGTCCAACTAATCCTCCTAAAGCACAGGGCTGACAGTCACCCCTCCTATTCGGTGAACCTCAGTAGCTCCCTGTTGCTGCCAGCATAGCTCTTCATAGCCTGGACCCTTCCTGCCTTTCCATTCTGCTTACGCCTTATTTTCTCCCCCCTCCCCCCCACCCCATGTTCTCTGGGATCTGGGGACACTGCCCTCCTGGCTGTTCCTTGCTCAAGACCCCCTGTCTCTGGGCTCCCAACGACTGTCACTGCTTGTCTGCCCCCTCCACTCCCATTACTGACCACCCTGGCTTCCTTCAAGGCTCAGCTAAAACCCCACCTTCTACAATCCCGCTATTAATCATTATTTCCTACTTTTTCCGTTCCATAGCTTGTTTGTACATAACTATTTGCATGTTCTTTGTAACCTCAGCGCTTAGCACAGCGCCTGGCACACCAGTAGACAGCTTAATGATTGCTTGTCGCCCTGACCTGGGCTACTTCCAAGACACCTCATTTGTTTTTCTTTTTTGGGGTCAGACTCCAAACATCTGTTTACCTGAGGATCTGATCCTGCCCTGTTTGTTTTCCCTGATCCAGGATTTGTTTTTTTCAGTATCAGCCAGACCCACCCCTCCCTTGGAGGGAAGCTTTAGCCCCACTGAAGGCTGTTTAAGACCTTTGGGCTGGTGAAAAGAACGCTGCGTTGGGAGTCTAAAGAACCTGGGTTCAAATCCTGTCTAGGTCACCCATGACTTGTGTACCTGTGGGGAAGTGGTTTTACTTTGCTGGCCCTCTGTTACATAAGCAGGGTGGGTTGGCTGGTTTTGCAGTTCTCTCCCGTTCTAATACCCCAGAAGTAGGGCAGAGGCCTATGGTTCTAGAGCTGAAAGGATCTTAAAGTTCTAGGTGTCTCCAAGGAGGTGAGGGAAAGAATCACATTTTAAACCTGTCTCTGCCTACAAACTCAGGCCTCTCCCTCCCCCCTCGCCATTCTGGTTCCCCACTTTTCCACGACTTGACTCCAGCTGTGGAGGTTGGAGAACCTTGCAGGGGGAATCTAATCAGGAACATCAGACTGGCTAGCCATCTGCATGCTTCGGCCAGGCCCATAACCTAGCCTTTCCCCCATGAGCACCTGCGGAGGGCAGGGGCCATGCAGGTGCCCTGTTTGCTGAGAATTGCCAAGGTCCCTCCTGGTCCCTTCTCCCATTGGCTAGGCTCAGTTATGGCCTGCCTTGGGAAGAGGCCTCCTTCTGACACAGGTGTGCCAGGCACAGGTGGGGAAGGGATGTGGGACGCCTAGAGGGAGCCGTTCAACATTCCACCCACATTACCTCTGGAGCTTAAGGGCCGAGTTTGAATCCTGACTCAGGTGTTTATTAGCGGTGTGTCCCTGGGTGGGTTACTATTAACTCCTACCTGCAGGGCTGTCATCAGAATAAAATGAGATAATATTTGTAAAGTACTTTGCAAAGTTCATAAATGTTAGCAGTGGTTATGACCACATTTTCCCCCCAAAATGAGCTGCCTCCTAAGGCCTTTTGTCTGGTCCTTGCCTTCCTCTGTAGCTCTGACTCTCAGCATCCCATCCCCGCCCCCTACTCCCTGTCTTAACTGCCCAGTCATGGGGGGCCAGATAACAGGAAAATGGTGTTGGGGGTCCCTTGTACAAAGCAGACTCATGGCTTTTTCTGCTCCTGGAGGACGCTGCACAGACCTCGCCAGTCTCTTTCTCCGCTGTCCTGCCCCTCAGAATTCCTTCCAATTTGAAATGAGTTCTCATAAAACAGAGCGGGGTGGGATGGGGAACAGACAATAAATCTTCCCATCCTCCACCTGTAAGAAGACACTCAGAGGCTGGGCCTCCTTGTCTCTGCCCCCTGCAAGGAGGGAATATGAGCAGACACAGATAATGAGCCCGCATTTTTCCAGCCCCAGAAGCTGTCACATTCCCTCCTCCTCTTCCCCACCCCCTCTCAGCTGCACAGCTGACTCTGCCCTCTCTCCTGGTCACTAAGGCATCAGCTGGGCCCCCCAGGGCCAGATGAGCAACGGAGGCCCAGCCTCTGCCCCCCCTCCCAGCCTGGGGGATAGCAGACCATTCGACATGAGCTTTTGTTCAAAGCCCACCAACCAACCTGGTGACAGCGTTCCTAGCCCAGCCCATCTGAATTAATTCCACAAGAGCGATTTGCTGAGATAGCAGCAGCCTTACAGATGTCACTCACTCTGTCTGGGGCCCAGATGGTGAGTCTTGGGGAGAGGAGCCTTTTTCCCCCAGATTTGGAGCATGATACAGGACGGGCAGCCACACCCACTGGAGAAAGGCTTGCTTAAAACCCATCCCTGACCACCCCCCCAAAATCACAGGTTTCAAATCTGCACCCCGCACCTAACCCTGCAAATCCTCCCAGCTGAATGGAGTTATATGTAGGGACCTGACTTGGCCCTGAGTCCCAGGAGGGTTCCTGACGTGCCAAGCTACTGGATTACTATTTCTGGGGCCTCAAGATAGCAATTCTGTGGGTATGTCCAATTCCCACAAACCCTCCACCCTTCCAGACTTCCTTATCGCTGTCAAGGGCACTGCCGTCCTCCCAGTTCCCCAGGCTCACGGCCTAAGCGTCATCGTGACCCCTCACTCTCTCACCTCCCATAGCCAATCCAGTGTCAAACCCTGTTACCCTCACGTCTGTCCCTTCTCTCCTCTGACACTGACACTCCCCACTCCAGGCCTTCATCCCCTTGTGCCTAGAGTACTGTTTTTATGGTTGACCTCTCTTTCTCCAGTCTCTCCCCACCCCATCTCATCCTCCTCTCAGCCCCCAAACTGATTCTCCTAAAGGCAGGTCTTCATTTCCTACCTCCTCGCCTTTGCCTTGGCTGTACCCCGAAGCTTTGCCCATCCTCACATCCAACTCCTATCTTCCCTGGCTTCCTTCCAGAGTCAGATCAAAGACCTCCTTCTGCCGGAGGATTTTCCCAGCTTCCTCAGCTTCTAGTTAAATCAAGTAAACAAGCCTTTATTTATTAAGTATCCACTATGTACAACAAGCACTGTGATAAGGAATGGGATGCAAAGAAAGGGAAGAGAATAAGCATTTACATAACACCTACTATGTGCCAGGCACTGTGCTAAGTACTAGGGATGCAAAGAAAAGGAGGGAAGGGAATAAGCATTTATAGGGCACCTACTATGTGTTAGGCATTGTGCTAAGTGCTGGGGGTGCAGAGAAAAGGAGGGAAGGGAATAAGCATTTATAGGGCACCTATTATGTATTAGGCATTGTGCTAAGTGCTGGGGATGCAGAGAAAAGGAGGGAAGGGAATAAACATTTATAAAGCACCTACTATGTGTTAGGCATTGTGCTAAGTGCTGGAGGTGCAGAGAAAAGGAGGGAAGGGAATAAACATTTACAGATAACCTACTATGTATATTATCTCATTTGATTCCCACAATAACCCTAGGAGGTAAATGCTCTTATTCCCATTTTACAGATGAGGAAACTGAGGCAAACAAGAGGTTACGTAACTTGCCCAGGGTCTCACACAGCTGGTAAGTGTCTGAGGCCAGATCTGAACCCAGGTCTTTCCGACTCCAGGCCCAGTACTCTATCCCTTAGTACCACCTGGCTCCTCCCAAAAGTCAAAAAACAGACCCTGTTCTCACAGAGCTCACAATCTAAAGGAGAAAATAATAATCAATCAATCAACAAACATTTATTAAGCACCTACTATGCCAGACACTGCCTAAACTGGGGATACAAAAAAGTCCCTGCCCTCAAGTCGAAAAGAGAAGACAATATGCAGCCAGCTATGTAAAAACAAGCTGTATCTGGGATAAATTGGAGATAATCTCAGAAGGAAAGCACTAAAATTTTGTTTGGGAAGCAATCCAGGTTAAGTGACTTGTCCAGGGTCACACAGCTAGTAAGTGTCTGAGGCTGGATTTGAACTCAGGTCCACCTGACTCCAGAGCTCTAACCACTGGGCCACCTAGCTGCCCAGAAGGCCCTAAAATTAATGGGAGTTGGGAAAGGCTTCTTGCAGAAGGTGGGATCTTAGTTGAGACTTGGAAGAAATCCGGGAGACTATGAGACGGAGATGAGAAAGGAAAGGATTCCAGGCATGGCATGGGAAGAGAGTCAGCAGAATGCCTAGAGTGGAGAGAGGACCAGCCAGGAGGCCGGGGTCACTGGGTCTCAGAAAACGTGGAGGGGAGTAAGGCGTAATTAGACTGGAAAGTAGGAAGGGGCCGAGTCTTAAAGGCCTTTAGAAGCCAAACAGGAATTTCGACTTGATCCTGAAGTTTTCTGAACAAGGGAGGGACATCTCTTTGCTGGCTAAGTGAGGAGGCCACGCAGAAGGCTGCTGAAACCATCCGGGCTTGAAGCGACGAGGGCGTGTGCTGGGGAGTACAGGGAGGGAGTACCGGGCACCGTCAGGAGAGGCTGTGAACGTGGGACGGAGAAGGTAGGACTCAGCAGCCGCTGGGACGACGGTGGGGCCCTTGGGAGCAATAGGTAAGTTAGGATGTGGGTTGGGTTTAGGGGGAAAGAGAGTGAGTTCGGTTTGGACGGCTTGGGTTTAAGCTGTCCGTTGGACATCTAGCGGGTAGTTGGGAGTCTGACTGGAGGAGAGAGGCTGGGGCTGGATAAATAGACCTGAGAATGATCTGCGTGGACGACTGAATCCATAGGAGCTGCTGGGGCCCGAGAGGAGGGATGGGAGAGCAAGGGGCTGACAATTAGCCTGGATGAAGACGCAACAAAGGTGACCAAGACGAACAGTCAGAGAGGTGGGAGATGAGCAGCACCTTCCCCTTCCCACCGGGGTTGAAATGACCTCCTAACTGCCCTCCACACCCCCTTTTATCTACCTATTCATCCTACGTATTACATTACGTTATCTTACACATCTTACATGGCTCCCCCTTTAGAATCCTGAAGACCACCTGGCAGGATGAGATACCAGACACTGAGGTCCTTTCTTCATTAAACTGCCAACCGTTCAAACTCTCCTTCAGACAGCGCAACTCCGATGGGCTGGCCATGTCGTTCCAACGCCAAACATACCTACTGAGCCACCTCAAGGCCTCCTTTGAGGAGGTGAAGAAAGTGGTACCGACAGAAGGATGTCGACAATGGCTATGTTAATGAAAAGAACAGTAGAACAAGGCCAAAGGCTGTCTAGCTGTAATTCAAAATCTCTGTCTCAAAGACGTAGAAATGCACATCCCTCCTTGACTCTGATTAGTGTGTGTGTGGGGGGGGGGGGGGGGTCAGAGGCAGTCATCACTGTTAGGATGAAGTATTTTTAGGGGGTGAGGGAACAAGGGCACTAATGAAACAATTTTAGAAAAAGAAAAAAAAATTCCTTCTAGCCTGAACATTGAGAAAATCTGCACCGTTATTTCAAACATATTCCAACTCTCAACTAAAACTTGGTGGACCCATTGTGGAGGGAGCCTTGGAAGTTGGGAGATTCATTTACCGGTTCTTGGCTGGCAGAAAACCTTTGTCCCTTCGTAGCCTGCCCGGGCCTCCCCTTCTAGCTCAGGCTGGGCTCATGCACAGTGTTACGGTCCAAGGCCTTTCTGAGTATCCAGACTTCAGGTAGGACTGCGGCCACAACTTTAGGGGAACGAGCCAGCCCCACTTCTTGAGCCAGGCTCTGCCTTTTCTTACCACAGGATAAGGCTTGACCCCCTCACCCTTCAAATCAGCATCATGGCTCAGCCCTATCCCTGAACAGAGGGACAGGGGGAGATAGTTGTCTATCTCACTGGCAGACTGAGGAAACAAAAGACCTTGCCACCTCCCCATAAACCGTTTTCTCCTCTGCCGAGAACTATTCTCTGAGGCCAAGACGAAGCAGGTGGCCCGGCAGTTACCCTGATGGTCAAGGCTCATCTCCTCCCTTTGGGGATCAAGCCTGGGAGTTGCATTTTAAAATGCCTTTCAGCAAGGAAGCAGCCTCCTCCTCTTCACCCCCCACCCCAGCGCCACACCACCACCCTTTTGAAAAGAGCATCAGACCTTTCTTGAATTGTGCATCAGAACCCACAGAAAAGCGGTGTTTACTATAATCCTGGAGACTGAAAGCAGACTATGGAAATAAACTGCAGTATTGGAGATGACCACATTCATTCTGCAGATCAAAATACAAAGCAAAATAAATGAGGATACTGTGGAAATGGCATCTCTATGGATACAGTTTCTAAAGAGTCCTTAACCTTTTTTTGTGTGGCGGAACCCTTGGGCAGGCCATCTGCGGACTGACCCCTTTTCAGAACACTGCTTTTAAAAGGATAGATTAAAATGCATAGGATTACAAAGAGAACCAATTATATCTCAAGTTGTCAAAATATTTAAAAAACAAGTCCAGAGACTCAAGGTGTTAAAATCTGCTTTAAATGGTTCAAGAACATAGGACTAGATTGAGGAGGGGGACAAAGGGCCCTTGGGTCATTTTACAGAGGAAGGCCAGGCCCATCACCAAGGCATGTGGATAGCCCATAGCAAAGCTTGGTCCTTTCAGAGTTACTTTCTCTGACCCTTCCTGAAGGCCGGTGCTTCTGATGAGGAGCCAGATAAGACGCAAAGTGACTCATCCAAGGTGAATTTCATGAATTAAGTGATGTAGCTGCCTTAGAAACCATACTTTCCTTATGAAGATTCATTGATCTGAAAATAACATTCCTCCCTGAGACCACTGAGGGAAAAATCATTAAGCTTAGGCACAACGAAGCCTCCAACGCCTGCTGCCAGGGAGATAACTCTACAGAGGCCAACTCCACGGGCAGCTGCCTGATTGTCAGAGTCACTGACAAAGGAATTGCCAAACAAATATGGCAGCAGGAGTGGGCCATACGGGGAGGGAAGGCAGAATGAATCACGGCAGAGGGGCCTGCTCACACTGGCATTCATCTGTGTTCAGCCCCCTTTGCAAATGAAGAACTGGAGGGGGCATGGAGCATTAGGAGGGCTGGGTGACTGCCTGAGGTCCCACTGCTTAGTTTAGAGGTAGGAGAGGCCTCCCAGGCCCCAGGCCCAGTGATCATTTCAATGCGGTTAATTAGCTTCTGCCTTCCACGCCAGGACAGCCTCCCCTCTCCACTCTTTCAGACACCATTACCTGGAACCAGATTCTGCCTCTGACGTTGGAATCAAGTCACCGACCCCTCTGCCCATTACCCCCCCCCCCCCCCCCCGCCCCAAGGACATCAACGTCAGGCCATTTCTAAGCCCTACAGACTACAAAGTGACCAGATTTCTCGTTTTCTCAACATTTGTTGTCTGGACTTGTGAGTTCATCAGTATAGCAGAACTCCCAGTGATGAAATTCTCTCCACCAAAGCTCATCAGTAACTCATCTGCAGCTAACAGTTCTCCAGGGGGTACTGAAATGATGTGCTCACAGTATCACAGCCAGCAGGTGTCAGAAATAGGATTTGAAAGCAGGTCTTTCTTCCTGGCCCTAATTCACTCTTGCCACATTCTTTCTCTTCTCCAACTCAGAGCTCAGATAATAAGTGGCACAGAACAGCTTATATGCACAAAGGTATTTAATACCCAGTTTCCAGCATCAATCTGCAGTCCACCCAAAACAAAATGGCAACCATTCGGAAACAGGATCAGTCTGAAGATCCAGCCTGCTGTCAGCTCCAGGCTTCTGATCCTGAAACACTGGTGGGAGATCAGGACTGCGAAAGGATGCAGACAGAGCGTCTGGCTTTGAGACTTGAGTGGGCATCCATCCTGGCATCCCCTGCCCTGACCCCTCCTTCCTCCTGCCCGTGATAGGGGAAGCCCTGGGACTGCCTTCTTAAGATGCCCGGGACGTGTCCTGTGCATGAGTCCTCAGCCCCTCCGAGTCTCCAGGGTGCAGGGAACAAATCTTGAAAACTGGGTCAGAAAGGAAACTCAGAAGGAGGTGTGGGTAGGAGGAAAAACTTTACTGCGAATCCAGATGTGAAAGAGAAAGCGCCAGACCGAGAGGGGCCCAAGCTCAGGGCATCCTGGAACGACAGCTCTGCCCTCGGTGGCCCGTGGACAGGCTCCGGTCCTTGCAGGCGAGGGTGAACGCCCTCTCCGGCCGGGCCCAGGGCTCTCCGGGTCTCCGAATGCCTGAGTCGGCAGCCGCCACTATTTCCTCCTTTTCTGTTTGCCGTCTTTTTTGCTCTTCATATCTCGGCCCTTCTTCAACTTCTTGTTCTGTTTCAGGTCATTTTCAGCTTCGGGTTTTCTCTTCTTGTCACTAAAAAAATACAGAAGGAGAGGGAGGAGGTAAGGACGGAGACAGTCACCACCCACCCACACACCCACCCACTCCAAAAACCCCCACGCAGACACGGCAGGAGCCCACTGCTTCAGAATCGCCTTAGGCTGATAGGGGCACGTGTCTTGGCCCAAGGGTGCCTGGGTTCTGCTCTGCCTCAGACCTTCCACCATGGGGTTTTATCCCGGAAGCCGGGCAGCAACTCCAACAGAGGGGCACGGGGCGTCTGAGCATCCCCATCCCCACCACGATGGCTGCCGTCTCTCGGGCTGAACTTGAACGATCCATTAGGAGCAGTTAGAACAGAGCTCTCCCTGAGTTGGTAGTCATGCTTACCCTGGGGACAGGGGTCTCCTGAAACAATCTCCCACGAGCTCTTTCTTTGCCCTCCCCCTCCCCACAAGCAGGCCATGAAGGGAAAACCAGAGGCACAATGACCTGCGCCAGGATGACGCACAGCGACATTTCAGAGGCGCCACAACGCCCAAAGGCAGATAACTGAGACTGAAGGGGATGACCGTGCAGCTCGTCCCTTCTCTTGGCCGAGAGGTGGGGGGCTACGGGCACAGAACATGGCAGGCCCTGGTGGGCCTGCTCAAGCTGTTGGCTGGTTTTGTGCAAATGTTTCTGACACTCCACATTCCTCCTCCCATCTGGGTGTGTTTGCACGGACCAATCCCGTGCCTGAGGTGCACTCTCCCCTCCTGATGCCTTGTGGAATTCGAGCTCCCTTCTAGACTCAGCCTACGTGCCACCTCCTACAGGAAGCATCCTGAGTCCCTTGGTTTTCAATGCTCCCTTCACCGGAGCTGTGTGCATGCCCTCCTCCCAGGTAGAACTTCACCTCCTCGAGTGCAGGGGATTTCACTTTTGTCTGTCTTCCCACTGCCTAGCATTCAGTGTGTGTGTGTGTGTGTGTGTGCACACGCACGTGCGGGTGTGCATGTGCACTTGGGGGGAGCAGGACGCCTGACAGGCACTTAGTAAACGTTAACTGATCAGTGACTTCACCAATTAGGGGCCGAGAGACAATGAGTGTCAAAGGCTGTCAATAAAACTCCTTAAAAACAGTTTTGAGCCGCTTTCTTGGAAGCACCGCCCCCTTCATCAGGCTTCCTGAACCCCAAGGAGTCAGAGGCTGGAAGCTTCCCTTCTGATGCAGAGGACGGCCCTACCGGCCTATCCCTAACGTGAAATGTAAATGCCCCCAATCTATCTCATACCCCTCCTTGGGGGGCTGAGCCTTGTGCCCTCCAATCTTTCTCTTCCTCGAGGGGAAGGGGTGAGGCTGCTGCCGTGACGCTGTGGGGAGAACACTGGGACCGGGAGACTGACTCCCTAAGTTCCCAGGGGGCTCCAGGCCTCACCTTTTCAAGCTGATGATGGAGGCGTTCTTTCCGGCTTTGTTCAGAACCTCGTTCCATTCTTCATCATCACCACGGATTACGTACCTAAAGACAGCAGGGGACCAGGTGAAAAAGTTGGCTGTGCAGGACAGGGGGCCGCTTTTGAGAAGTCTGTGGATCTGGGGCAGCGAGGTGGTGCAGTGGATAGAGCACCGGCCCTGCAGTCAGGAGGACCCGAGTTCAAATCCAGCCTCAGACACATAACACTCACTAGCTGTGTGACTCTGGGCAAGTCACTTAACTCCAATTGCCTCACCAAAAACAAACAAACAAACAAAAGTCTGTAAATCTGTAAAGGTATGGGTGATGTGCCCAAGGGAAGGGCAAGAGGTCCTGTCCCAGCTCAAGGCACTCGGCTGAAATCGCTGCAGGCCTGGAGTGGGTCAGGGTCCCAGTACTGCTGCCGGCAGCCTCACCACCTACCCACCTGGAGGACCACCACCAGAAGCCGGCTCACACTTGCCCCTTCCCATGCACTGCTACAATGGCTCCCCCAGACCTTTCCTCCTGTTCCAAGGCTGTCACTGCCTTCGAGGCTGCGCTTCAGAACTGCCCAAAGCAGCCAGCTGGGACACATTGCAGCCCACTCCCTTATCCCACCTTCTTTCAACCCTCCAAACAGAGGCATGGTACCCCACAGAGCTCCGCAGTAGCAGTCAGGAAAGACCTGGGTTCAAATTCCACTTCTGCTCTGTATTCACTGGGGAACCAAGGCAAATCAGCCTCAGTCTCCTCATCTGTAAAATGCGATGGTCCCTTCAAGTCTGGGAGCCAAGAACCTATGAATCTTGTCCCAGATTATTATAAGCTGCACGCCATCTGACTTCTTGCAGACCTTCTTTCCTCTTCTCCAATCCCCTATCTACCTCCCAGGCTTCTTGAGAGGACCCGAAAACGTCACAGGGCCTGGACGTGAATGTGCCACACGTGGGGCCTGTGGGACCGGGACCCGGCCCCCACCCCAGCCCCAGCCCCTCTGACGGTGATGCCACCCTGGAGGCTGTGACAAGATGCTCAGGGATGCGGAGCCTGGGGGAGAGGACGGGAGGGAGGGGAACAGAACAAGAGTCGCCTCCAAGCATCAGAAGGGAAAGGGGGGATTCCAGTTATCCTGCTCGGCCCCGAGGACGGAAGAGAGACCAATCCGCTCTTGATAAAAGGAAGATTCCCTAACAGACTAGGCTGCTTCAGTGGGGAGGGACCTCCCTGCAAGTCTTTACGGAGACACTGGTGTGTTTGGGGGCCACGTGGTCAGGGGGCCTGTGGTGGAAGAGTCCAGCTCAGAAGGCCCAGGGCACGTCAGGCAGAGTCTGGGCCTCTGCTTCCTCACCTGCGCCCACCCAAGACAGGAGCTGGACGAGGTCACCTCCGGGGGGAGACGAACACTCTTCTGGGAGCTTATCTCCCCCAAGGCAGGGACAGTCACCGAACTCAGGGAAGGTCAGTGTGAAAGCTGGGACGTACCTGTGAGGCTGGGGGAGTCCTATTAGCAGGGTCGGCTAAGGAGAAAGGAGCGATGGGGGAGCCTATTAACAGAGAAAAGGAAGGCGCTCCCAAGCCAGAGTCCCAGGCACTGCTGCCGGTGAGCCCCGATTCTAGCACAGAAAGAAGGCGGGGGCGGGAGCAGTAATGGACGCTTCTGGAGGAACTGGTGATCGGGGCCCATCTCTACCTGCCGAGGGGCCTGAGAAGCACGCCTTCTCCCCCAGAAAGGAGGCATCGATGGGACACGTAGCAATGACAGCAGGTCTGACTTCCTGTGGACCCGGCTGATACCGCAAGCACAGTGAGACCTTTCCCAGCCCCGTTCCCAGTCTGGCCCAGAAGGCTAATTAACACCACGGGGGAGGGAACCAGGACCGGGACCACAAGAACCAGATGAGTGCTTAAGGCAGCCTGGGGCCCCGCTCCACCACACAGGTGCTGAACTTACTGAGGACCCCAGATCGGCTCGAGCCCCACCCCACCTCAGAGCTCCCAGGCTCCAGCAATCCCCCAGCCTCAGCCCCCAGGGCAGGATGACAAGCACATTCCCTTGCTTCTTGGAAAAATGTACTTGTGTACAGAACACAATTTAAGCTTTGTTTGGTGACTCAGTAAACTGGATCTGGAGTCAAATCAATGGGTCTAGTAGCATTTACTACACGAGTGACCTTCTCACTGTGAATTTCTGGCTTCCCCATCTGTAAATGAGTGGCCTGAAGAAATTCTCAGGCCCCCTCTAGCCTGAAAGCTGAGGTTCACGGCATCAATGGCTTTTTTCTTTTATTTATTTATTTTAATTTTATTTTTTTTAGTTTTTAGGCAGTTGGGGTTAAGTGACTTGCCCAGGGTCACACAGCTAGTAAGTGTCAAGTGTTTGGTCTGAGGCCGGATTTGAACGCAGGTCCTCCTGACTTCAGGGCCAGTTCTCTATCCACTGCGCCACCTAGCTGCCCCCAATCAATGGCTTTTTTCTAATCAGGCTGATCCCCTCCAGGGCTGATGCCCCACACTAAATGGGCCCCTCTACTTTGGAAGCTTCATAAACTCTCTTGCCTCAGTGACACACCTACACCCCCAGAACCTAGCACTGTGCCTGGCACAGATGGGTGCATAATAAATGCTTACAGAGATGAAACAGGAAAGTATAAAGCATCCTAAGAAGTATGGGCTAAAGTTGGGGGGAGGGGGACGTCAGTCCTGAGAGATGCTCCAAACACTGGGCCTCAAACCCTAAAAACAGCAGCTACCACCCCAGAGAGTAAGAGGAACCTTCCTGCAAAATCAAAGATGGAACCACCTCGTTCAGCACACCAACTCACCATCTGCTCTAAAACAAATATGGGGGGAGGGGGGTGTGAAGTGAACCAGTGGAATTTCCAGTTTTTTTGCTGGCCTAGCAAACTGCCGATGCTTTAGCCCCTAAAACACAGCACCCCAAGAAGCCAGGGAATGCGACAGGATCTCAAAACTAAGAGTCTTCAAGGAAAATTTTGTCCAACACCTTTGACTTATTACCGAGTAAACTGAGGCCCAGAGGGGAAGTGCTTGCCTGACTTTGAAGAATGAAATAAAGCCAGATTCCCAATTTCTGGTAACTCCCTTCCTGCCACACACCCCTCCCCTCTTCCCTGAAGAGGGACCTAACCCCAGAACTGAGATGGCAGAGGACAGGACAGGGGCTCTGAGAGGCTGGGAGCAGGTCCTTACTGTGACAGGTCCATGTTCTTGAGCTTCCCCACTTCTTTCTGGTGTTTTTCCTGGAATTCTTTCGCGGCTTCATCCTGAATTTATAAAACCAACAGCAAAAGCAAATCGGAATTTGACACTCAGCCATGACAAAATACGTGAAAGAGGGGAAAAAAGAATGTTTCCTTTCTCCCCTTCTGCCTTAAAATCTGCCATCCCATGCAAGCATGTAAGCACACCTTTCCGAATTCTACTTAGGGGACAGCTATCTTTCCCTTACTGGAGAAAAAAAAAAAACATTTCCACACATACACACACCAAAGACAAGTCAAAATCTGTGTCTCCAGGGGGGGAACAAAGGAACTCCCAACAGAAACAATAAGTCTCCCTTCCCTTCCTAAGAATCACAGAGAGCTCGGTTTTTCACACAAGGCAGAGAGAAAAACAATCATGCATGAAATGGCAAGATTTAACCATTGGCAACAAAACATCTTAGCCCTTAGGGATGGTCTTGGACTTCTCAAAATTCCCCATTTTGTAGATTAGAAAAATTGAGGCTAAGAGAGGTAACTGACTTGCCCAGGCACACACAGCTAATAAGTCTCTTAGGTAGGATTTGAACTCGGGTCTTCCTGATTCCAATGTCCTCCCGAAGTTTCCATCTTGTTCAGTGGTCCAGGCCAGCCAGCCTTCATTCCCTTCCTGGCCCTGTTCCTGACTTCAAGCCATGCCTCCCCCAACCCAACTTTTCATCTCCCTTTCAATGGGCTGTCACACCCCATTAGAATGTAAGCTCCTCAAGGGCAGGGACCGTCTGCCTTCTTGGCTTGTATTGGTATTCCCAACACTAAGCCCACGCCTGGCACACAGTCAACACATACATGCTTATGGGTTGTCTCATTTTTTTCTTCCTTTCCTTCCTTCCCTCTCGCTCTTCTTTCTTTCTCACCACATCACCCAGCTGCCTCAGGCACAGAGGAAAGACAGATTTTTTGGAAAAATGTTTGTTTTGGGCCAAGAGGAGCTTGAGACACCCTAGGGATTAGATGTCCCTGTAGCAATATACAGCATTTGCTGACGAAGGACAGAAAATCTCAGGAGGGGACAAGGGCTGCAGAGACGCCACTGGTGCCCGGGAGCGAGGGACGAGGCTGAGGGACAGAGGCCCCGGGGACAGGGGCTGACGTACCAGGTCTTCATTCAGGGATTTAATGGAGGGCTCCATGACCACGTCTTTCACTGCCACCATCTGCTCCTCCACGGCCTTCTCCTGAATCACGCTGAACAACTGAGGAAGGAAACCAAGGATGGGGGGCGCAGGGGACCCTGAGAGGCTGGCTCCCATCTCTAGCAGAGGTGGGGGACGCCCGGAACGGCCACTGCCTACGTCAGACTCTTTCAAGGTGGGCAAGTTTGGCTGAAGTGCCCATTTTCTCCCTTTCCTCTAAGGATGGCTGTCTGGGAGAAGGACAGGGAGGGTTTCTCTGGAGGCACCTGTTACCTGCACCACTTTGCGGATGATCCTGTTGAAAAGCCCCATCAGCTGGCTGCAGGGCAGCTCAATCTCCTTCTCCAGCTGGTCCATGGTCTTGTGCTGGAGGCCGACCCCCAGCAGGAGAGCCTGGGGGCAAGAACGTGTCAAGGCGAACTCCCCAGCCAGCTCTCAGACTGTTTTTTAAGCTGCCTGGTGCCCGTTCTAATTCGGTACGGATGAATACTGGTAACGGTAACAACTACTAAAGACATACAGCTAACACTTACAGGCCTCCAGCCTCTTGCCCTCCAGCTCACTGCTATCGGCTCCACTAATTCCTATGGCCCAGAAACCTCAATCACCCAATCTTGAGAGTCTGATGCTCAGAAGCCACCCCAAAGCCAACCTGCGCATCCCAGACTTCCCTCGTCCAGCCTCAGCTGGGAGACTCTGAGTGCGGGGAGACCCCTCTGCAGGGTCAGAGGACCATGGGGTCGACAAGGACACAGAGTCACTCGTTCATTTACGATATCCTAGGGCCGTGGAGCCACAGACGATGCCTTCTAATTCTCCTGTTAATCCTACCTACATCTTGCCTGTATATGGTAGGCTGCATGTCTTCTCCTCCATTAGACTGTGAGTTCCCTGAGAGCAGGGACTGTCTTTTGTCTTTCACACTCTCTCCAGGCACGCCTAGCACACAGTAGGTGCTTACCAGGCCTGAGTGACCAACGGTCAGCTTAGCAACCATTCAGTCCAGAGGGCTGGGCTCAGAGGCAGTCACTGAGGCTCTGAGGGCTTGTGGAGAGCACTCGAGACCACCCGCCCGGCCCGGGGATCTGCCTGAGCTCCGGACATACCGACTGTGCGGCCGACAGGGACAGCTGCCCGAGCCGGTTCAGGAAGTGCATCCTGGAGATGGCTGGGATCAAGTCCATGATCAGGTGATAATCCACCATGTTCCGGGAATACATCTCCAGCCTCTTCAGGTCGTAGGAAAGAAAGGCGGCCTCCAGCTCTCCTCGGCTCAGTTCTGGGAACACAAAGCCCACGGTGGACTTCACTCTCCCCCGAGCTAAGGGCAAATCCGTCCCCCCCAACCATTTATCTGCCAGCACACCTTCACTCCCTCCGAGCCAGCATCGGGTGGCTTTGTTTCTTTAAAAGGAAAGATTAATTTCCTAGACTCCCATTCACCATTCCTTCTGCAGGGGCATCGTGTCCCCTTGCCCAGATTCCTGGATAGGATTAACTCGCCATCTTGAAACCAGAGGGGAATCCTGGGAATCCTTTCCATTCCAAAACATCCTTTCAAGATGCATTCACTGGCCTCAGACACTTGACACTTACTAGCTGCCCTAGGCAACTCACTTAACCCCACTGCCTAGCCAAAAAAAAAAAAAAAAAATGCAACCACGCACACGAGCTCATCTGAGTTTTCACAATAACCCAGTGCAGGTGACATGACAAATGAGGAAAGCAAGTGGTTCAAAAGGCAACCAAATCCAGTAATGAATTTGGGAGTCAGATCCTGCCTCAGGCACTCCCTGTGGCCCTGGGCAGGGCTCTTAACTTCCTCAGGCTCAGTTTCCTATTCTATAAAATGGGAATACCACCCACCTCACAAGGATGCTGTGAGGCTTGAAGGAGAGGTGATGGGCAGAGTTTTGCAAATTTTAAGGCAATAAATATTTTCTATCTAGCTGTTGTTACTGCTATCCATTGACAGCCGAAGAGCACTCAGCTAGTGAGGGTGGGTGGGAAGGGGACAGGAGCTGCAGGTCCAGCCCCTCCATCCCTACTGACCAGTGCTCTCTCCTCTGCCTCCCATAGTTTTCCACAGTTCCAGCCCACCCCCCTCAAACCCGAGTGCTCACTCACCTGCCTGGGATTTCTCCTCAATGTTTTTATTCTGTAGGATATTCAGAGCCAGGGCAGGGGAGAAAGAGCTGAACTGATAGGCCAGCAAGGACAGGAAGCGCCTCCGGAAATCTGGGGCACAGAGCGGGGAGAGTTGGTGCCATGGAGGTTCACACCCCCTGCCCCCCATCACCCCGCCTCCCACGAGCCCCCTCGGTCTGCACCTTTCCAAAAGGCTGGGAGCCAGGGCTCCTGCTCAGAATCTTCCTCTTCGCTTAGAGTCTTAAGCATGATACAGGAATGCTCACCCGTCAGGTCATTCTGAGAAACAGACACCCCGAGCATTAGCCCCATGGACCCCTTCTGAGTTACTGATCCTCAGCCCCACACAAGCACAGTGCGGAGAACGGCACAGAACAAGCGTTCTTGGATCCTCTGTGATGGCCTTTCTCCTTGAGGCCGAAGAACGAATGAAGAGGAAAGCAATCATTAAGTGTTCACTACGTGCCCATTGGAGAGACACACAGCAGAGTGAGACAGACTCAGGCTGCTGACCGTCCCCTGCCTTCAAACCAAGCTGCCCCTCCAGCCTCTCCTGGGGTCTGTAGGCAGCGGCCAAGGCCCCCGACAGCCTCTTGGGAATTAGCAGGATAGGACGGCCCTTTCAAAGCCACAGTGTGTGATGTGAGGCCCAAGTGGAAGGGTCCAGGCATAAAGATGCTGGGTGTTCCTCCCAGGGTAGTGCTGGGCATGGAGGGGGGCCCGAGTCCCCAAGGGCCAGCAGTCTGCCTCTTCCATAGCCTCCATCACTAAATTCATTCCGATTCTAAGGATACTGAGGCTCACTCTCACCAGACCAGCCCTGCCCTCAAAGAGCTATCAATACCAATATTACAGGCATCACACTTTCATAGGATGGTAAGCTTCCCTTAAGGGACAATGGAACACATGCACATGCGTACACACATACACACACACACACACACACACACTCTCACCGGTGTCTGTCTCAGATACACAGGAACAAATCCAGCGCGTTTCCAGAACCTGGGGGGACAGAAGACATTGTACATTGGCGCTGAGTGGCTAAGCTGGGCCCGGTCTGGGGTTGTGGAGCAGGAATAACTAAGGAGGGTGATAGCCAGGAGGGTCCCCGAAGCAACAGTGGGACAGCCAAAGGGGGCAGGTGACCTACTTGAGCAATTTTGGCGTCAAGCCATAGGAGACGCCCAAGTAATCCAGGTTTTCTGCAGGCCTCTCACTCAGCTTGAGGAGCAAGGGAGGCAGGTTCTTCCGGGGGGTCACAGCCTCTTCCAACAAGCTGACAGCCTAGGGGAGAAGTCAGAGAGAGGGGGAGTCACTCACTCCTTCCTACAGGTTGGGACTACAAGTCACTGACCACTTACTCCACCCTGGTGGGGCTGGTGGGCTGCTGCTTCTAGGCAGAACGTGTGGTCCATCCAGGGACAGAGCAGCCCAGCACCATGAAGCACCTACTATGTGCAGACGCTGTGCTGAGCACCAGTGCTGCATGAGGAGAAGCCCAACAGCCCTCAGCCACCACGTATGACCTGTGGGATCTTGGACGGCCCACCCTATTTTCAGATCCTTACTATCATCTATAAACTGGTAATAATAACATGTGTACTACCTACACGACAGAGTGACAGGGAAGGAGGATCAGCCCTGGCATCAGAGGGCCAGAGTTCAAAACCTGCCACCGCCTCTTACTATCTGTGTGACCTCGAACAAGTCATAATTAAAGTTCTCCTCATCTTAAGGGGACAATCCTTCCCAGCTTCAATTCTATGACCCATCAGCCACCACTACACCGTTGTACAATTTTATTCAAGTGTGTAAGTGTGTGTTGAGGAGGGAAAGATCTCTGAATGTCTGCTGGGAAGCATCTTGAACTGAAACAAGTTTTACTGAACTTGAACTGAAACAATTTTTTGAACTGAAATAACTTTTTAAAAATAGCTCTGCAATCAAGAGACCTGTGTGAGGTGGGCCCAAACGACCCTGAGCTAGTCCCTGGTAGGCCAAGCCTCTGGCCACAGCTTCCTCCTTTCTAAAAGGAAAGTCTAAAAAGATGACTCCCTCCATGGTCCCTCCAACGCCAACGCAGCGCGATCCCACCCAGGCCTGTTGAGAGGAAAGCACTCTGGAAGGGGGCCTGCTACAACTACAGTTTAGCTACATTTGGGGGGTGGGGTGGGGGGAAAACTGGAATCCAAGCAGATGCCCACAGCGTGGGGATGGCTAGACAAACCACTACCATTGGTACCCCAACGAGATGGAAGACAGTGCATTGTAAGACCCAGGGAATATGGAGGCCTCAGGGATGAATGGGAAGATTTGGAGTAATGGCTGCGGAAAGAGCACTGGGTAAACCCTATTTGAACATTTGTATGTACACCCACATAGAGAGATATATAGACATGTATGGAGACACGTTATCACACGTTATCTATCTCTCTAATGCATGACGTCTAAATTACAAATTACAACACATGCACACATACACAGAAATATACAGACACGTATGGAGACACGTTACCTATCTCCCTGTATGCACGACATCTAAATTACAAATGGAAGGACCGAGAGAAGGCCCTGACCTTGAGGACTTGGGATGACTGTGCTCAGCCCAGAAGGACTAAGGCTCTGGCCGTTCTGTCCAGAGCAGAGGCAGGAGGCCCCAGGTACAGACTGCTGCATGCACTGGCAGACGTGGTCAATGTTCTGGGCAGTTTTCAGAGCTTTTTTTTTTAAAATGTCTCTTTAAAAAATCTTGGCTACAAGGGAGGACTCGTGGGTAAGAGAAGCGGGAGGACATGAGTGTGGCGGGAGAACAAAAGGCATCAACAATATGAAGAGGGACAACGTTGAGCCCGTGCAAACAGGCACGTGGATCCAAGAATTCAGCGAGCATGGCAGCCCTTCCCAGAGGGCGTCAGGACAGCGGGACAGCTGCATCCTGATATACGGAATATTAATGAAGGTGATAACGAGAGCTGATTTCGCCACACTGCATGAACGTTCACAAACGGCCTGCCCCGACCGTCCCGTTCAATGACCAAGTGCGGCTCCCCAGGAGCCCCGAGGCCACTCACCTCGCTGCTCACGGTGCTGATCTCTTGTGATTTCTGGATGACTTTCTCCTCCAAGCAGGGGAACTGGCCCTCGTAGTACCTCTGAAGCAGCTGCAGGGCCCGGCTGCCGTAACCCATCTTTGCGGCAAAGACGCACAAACAGGAGGATGAGACGGAGGCCACGATGCTCTGTCCCATCCTACCGCAGGCCAAAAGGCTTCCTCTTGGGAAATCCCTCCCCAGGGTCACAGCGCTGCTCAAGGCTACTAGTCTACCTCGAGACCAGGCTCCAGGACAAGCAGGGTCTCACTGCGTGTCCCGCTTCCCCGTTCTGAGCCGCCCAAGACAAGGCCACTTATCATGGGACTGACACTAGCTTAGGTCACTGGGTGGGTGACTCAACAGCGGGAACCTCCCGGGGACACGGGGCGGTCACTGGAGTCAAACCTGGTACAGAGCACTCGTTCTCCTAAGGCGAGAGTGAGCACCGTGGAGGGACTACAAGGGGGGCGTCCGTGGGAAGGGCAACCCGGCCGCTCTCACTACACAGGCTCCCGGGAAGGGAGCGCCCAGCCCAAGGAGGGAGCGTGCGCCTGAGGGGACCTGGGGATATGTTACCCCTTGGTAATCTGGGTGCACAGCAATGCGGACGATCCTTCCGCCAGACAGGCTGCCAAAGTCAGGGTCTTGGAACTGTATGGGGGACACAAGGCAGCAGCTTAGAGACAGGCAGAACTGAGGGCAAAGCTTCCACAGCAACTCCCATAACAATCGCACTCAGGTGCTCCTTCACAATTCTTGAAAGATGCAAGTGGCCAGTTGGGACTGCAGGGGCCCGAAGCACGTCTGGCAGAGGGGCGGACCACAGGGCAGAAGGAGGCATGCGTTGCAGACACCATCAGCGTGATGATTGATTTTCCATGACCATGCTTATTTGTTACAAGGGAGGGTTCTTCCAAGGTGGGAGAGGGCTTCGAGTCAGGTGACAGGGATATAAAAAAAACCCCAAATCAACAAAACTTTGTGGGCTTTTCAAACTACACCAAAAACCTCTTCTCTGCTGCTAAGTACACCCCAGGATCCAATTGCTCAGCACCTAGCCAACAAAAAAAGCGAGTCACCTGCTCAGAGATGGTCCAGGGAATGAGATCTCCATATGCCTTCTTCCCTCGAGACAGGCTGTTCAGGATGGACTGACGAGAGATCTCCCCCTCCAGGCAGACCTGACCAGGCAGGGACGGGGGAGTCACAAAGGCACGCAGAGGCAGGGCCTCACACCCCAGCTAGGGGGCTGGAATCTAGATTTCTGAATTGCTCAGGCTAGGGTATATCCTGCGAGGGCCTGGGCTGGACACTGAAGGCTCGTCCCAAGGACTGGAGAGCCCATCAGCCTTCCCAACAGACACGAGCTCTCTGGATTTTCCCTAGAGGCAAGCAAGGTCCCTGATTCGCCCCCACACAAGAAGCTCAAGCTACTCCCCAAACCACGCATCGGGCTTTTTATACCTGGACGACAGCTAGTACTTCTGGCAAGGAATTCTGGGTAGGAGGGACCGGCGGCAGGAGACAGAAGAGATGGTGAGCTGGGGCATCAGAGAGCATCTGAAGGTCATTGGGAGAATTCTGTGGGGGCAAGGCAGGGTCAGAAACACTCATGAGAATCACTTCTCAGCAAGTGAGGGGCTTCAGGTGGGGCTCAGGGGGCATGAGAGAGAGGCATCAGGAAAAGACCGTTAGAGGTAAAAAGAGGATCTGAACCCAGCTCTCCTGACCTCAGAGGCACGGCTTGTCACTACGACACCCTCCCCAACAACCAGGAATTAGGGGGACGTTCTGAAGCTCGCCCACAAAGGCACCTGTTGGCACACTGCAAAGGTGAAGATTCTTCCCGGCTGCTCCAGGGGAACTCTGTCCCAGGGGATGCCTAAAAACCTCCCCAGAGCCCAGGCTACCGAACGGGAGCACCAAGCTTCTTACTCGGGGGCACTTATTGGCCTAGAACTGACCCTCTTCTTCCTCAGTGGTGGCTGCTGTGGGCCGAGCTGCCTGGAACCATCACCCCCACAACACCCAAGTTCCCATCTCTCCCCTGGAATCTATGCACAGTTCAGAAATGCCAGGGAAGGCCTGAAGGCATGGCAGATCCATTTCAAATGGTTGTTTGGTTTCAAGGCTTACGTCCCCTAAAACCTCAAACTCTCTACTCCGTAATAAGTCCAAAGAGACAGAACTGGCCTCATCTTCGTCCTCATCTGTTTTACTTTTCTTTAAAAATGTTTTTAAAAATCTGGACCTGTGCTTTTGTTGGTAAAGGAGTCTCCCAGTGAGGAAACTCTCAACCAGTGCTAACAGATATCCACTCTGCATCTTAGAAGAGTTGCCTGGGACACAGAGAGGTTAAGTGACTTCCCTGAGGTCACCTAGCCAGGATGGATCAGATAACTATGGCAAACACTTGGTTCAGAACCTCTTCTGACAGTGCTTATAAAAATTCACAGCACTTCAGACTGGGAGGGGACTTCACAAACCGTCTCACCCAAGCCTTTCCTTTCGCAGGGCAGCCCAGTGACTCTGCCAGGGGCACACATCTCCCGAGCATCAGAGCTGGCATCCTGACTCCCAGACCAGGACAGCGGCTCTCTGTACCTACTTTCCCAGCCCTTCAGTTCTCTGACAGCGGGTGGGCACTGGGGTCTTCCCTACAGGGCCTGGCCCACAGAAAAGTGCTCGCTTCCCATCTGTTAAAGTCTCTCCTCGATGACACCAGGTGCAAGGCAAGCGACCTAAGCAATGCCAGGCTAGTGCCAGACGTCACCTTGTAGTGAGAAGCGACGTAGAGCGCCATCAGTCTCTGGAGGAAGGCTTCGGAGGCCTTGTGGTAACAGAAGAGGGTGTCTCGGTTCACGTAGTAGAGTTCGCAGGCCTCAGGGAGAGGGCAGCCCGAGACAATCCTGGTGATGTTGAGGCAGTCGAGACACAGAAGGCCATTCAACCACTTCTCCACGGGGTCTCCGGGCGCGTAGCGGATGGACTCCTGGAGGGAGACTTCATGCAGAGTTCGAGCTGCCCCCAGTGAAAAAAATGAGAGTTAAAAACATTCCCTAAGCAAGGCACCTACGATGCTTCACCCAGAGTGGCTCCATCCTCATCCTGCAGTGACCGGGCCCAGGCGCTATACTTGGGGGGCCTCTCAAAGCCGGGACAGCTCGTTACCCATCGGCCTCAGTTAGGTGTCACGGCATCCCCATCCCACCCCGGGGTCCTGCTCCTCCTCCCACACTGCCCTGGCTCGGGGTCCTAGGCTGGGAGACGGGCCCTGCCCTGGGGGACCCAGTGAGGTCAGAAGGCAGGCATCCCCCAATTTCTGCCCCGCCCTTCTGGGTACGGTACCTGAGGCCAGCCGGGCGGTGGTGGTGGCCTTGTTCTCCGCCGTGGTGCTCAGCTGGCTCTGCGCACTTTGTTGTCGCAGTTGCTGGATCAGCTTGAGAGACAGTGAGCGACCAGTTCCCTCGTATCTAGACCAAAGACAGCAGAAACAGCTGAAAGAGAAGGCCCTGCCCACACATACACACCCACCTACCAGGGTGGAGAGAAGAACCTTTTGATTCACTATTCAACCTTAAGACACCATGTGGAGGACCACCTGGGGTCCATCCACCCTTGGGCCCGCCCACCCTTGGGCCCAGAGGGTGCACAGGTAGTCCATCCACTTCTGGCCCCAGGCAGCCCACCTGCTCCTGGCGCCAGGTGGCCCATTCATTCCTGGCCCCAGGTATCTCATCCACCTCCAGCCCCAGGAGGTGGGTAAGTGGTCCATCCACCCCCCATAGCCCCTGGGTGGTCTATCCAAACTGGCCAAGTGATCCACCCACCCTGGCCGAGCTGGCCCATTCCCATAGCCCACCCCCTACTCCTACCCATTGATGGTGGAAGCCATGAACACGAGGTAGGGTCCCAGCAGGTTTTTCACCAAGGGCAGGGGGATGGCAGCAGCTTCATCAATCACAACGAGCTCCGCCTGACCCAGCTTCACTGCATCTCCAGGGTGTATATACTGTGAAGGGGACAGAGGAGAGGAGAGGAGGACATGCAAGCTTGGGGAGCCTGAAGGCGCTGTGCAGCCCCCCATACCACCGGCCCCCCTCCCCAATACCTCCCTCCTTTCTCCTGTCATCTCACTCCCATGTGCACTTCCCTTCTCTGTATGACCTGGTTGGTTTATTGACTGACCTGGTGGAGGGAGTCTGCCCACCTGGGAGACCATCCCACCCAGGGAAAATCACCGATCTACATCCTAACCCTGTTCAACACGAAAGCAAGTTTCTGCATGTCTTTTGTTTTCCACAGTCACGAACAAAAAATAAAAGACCAGGAGGAGGAAGAAATAGAGTCTCACAAAAAAAGCTACTCTCCTAGATGTGTGACCCTGGGCAAGTCACTTAACTCTGATTGCCTCACCAAAAAAAAAAAAAAAAAAAGCTACTCTCCTCACTATATAGATTCCAAGTGGGCAAAGACAAAAAAAAAAAAGAAAAAATACTACTATAAAAAAAGGACATTTTTACCATTCTCCTACAGAGAAAAAAGAAATGGCCAGCCCAAATCCGCTGGAGCACTCATCCTCTCTGGTCTGCATGAGCATCTTGCTGACAACTGCCCATGGTAGTTCACTGGTCAAGGACAACACCCAGCCGGCCAGGACAGCCCCGGCTGCCGCCCTGCCCAAAGACATCCACCCACCAGGGACCTCTTCCGTGACTTAGCAGAGGGCAAACATCCAGGCGGCAGGAGCTCCCCGGGACTTATAGGGCTTTTGGGAAAGAGGTGTTTAAAATGGAAAAGAAGGGGGTATTTGTTGGAAACACACGGTTTTCAAAGGCCTTCCAGGCGATGTTACTGAGCCAGTACAGACGGGCCATCGCAAACCCTGATGTCTGTCTGACAGAGGAACAAAGAGCCTCTTTACTTCGAGCCGGTCAGGATCTCACAGCCCCACTAATTCAATTTAGAAGCCGGACAAGACCACAGTTTCTCAAGATGACTAAGGCATGCTTGTTAAATGTAAACATTTTCCCTTGGAGGCGGCCAAAAATCTGGAAGAGGTTTATCTTAAAACAACACCTCCGACACGCACTCAGTTACTCGGGAGCATCTGATGCTAGGAGGAGACGCGCAGGAGCTGTGCCAAGGCAGCTGGACAGCGTTACCTGGATGGTCTGCCGGTGCTCACGGAACACGTTTACCCGGATCACCGCCTTGTTAAACTCGGGATTCAGCGACTGGATGATCTCATAGTCTAAATGCTCCTGAAACACAAAGACGAGAGAGCATGAAAGCAACGAGGGAAAGGGAGAGTGAAGGCAAGGAGGACAGAGGGAGACAGAGACCAGCCCCGCCCCATGGCTAAACAGCTGACCTTCAAGTCACCAAGGCCTGGGCTCAAGTCTCACCTCTGAGACCTCCTAGCTGTAGGAACCTAGGCAAGTCACTTCCCTTCTGCCAGCCTCAGTTTCCTCATCTATAAAACGGGGATTGTACTAGCACCTACCCCCCCAGGATTGTTTGTGAGGGTTGAATGAGACATGTAAAGCCTGTCTTAGGGCCTTACATAAATGGTATCTGTTAGCAACAATGACGGCGAGGACATGGCAGCAAAGGCACTGGTCTGCATGGGCAAAGGGCGTTGCCTCATTGGGAGCTCAGGCTCCAGGCCCCTCCCCCTCCCCCTCAACTCAAAGGCAAAGGCAGGGCACTCTGCACTCCTGCGTCACTCACCTGGTACTGAAGGGCATCAAAGCCTTTAAATATGAACTCAAAGAGGGTGTGCAGGTTATCCGGGCTGGGGGACGTGACAAAGATGTTGGAGTATCTGGAGACAAAAGAAAGCTGCTTCTCCCACTGCCCTCCACAGAAGGGCTGGCAAACGCTCCCCTTCAGTCAGATGGGGCTGACAAAGAGGGGGCGGCGAGGCCTGGGCAGAGAAAAGGCCTCCCGGGGGGGGGGGGGGGGGGGGGCGGCCCGGCCGACCCCGGGGGGGGGAGCTGTCAAGGAGCCGTGGACGCATTCTTCACCAGATCCTCACCCACAGCCCCTCTCCCCATTGTACAGAGATGGAAACCGAGACCTGGAAGGGTCACACGTTCGTGGCACGGGAAGGGACCCGAATGGCCAGCTCGTCCAACCTCTAGATGACCACGCCCCCAGCTACAACAGCCACAACGACACACGGTCATCCAGCCTCGGGCTGAAAACTTTTAGGGAAGAGAGGGGAAGGGAATAACCAGTCAAGCAACCATCACTCATCCAGCGCCCAGAGCATGCCAGGCAGGACAGCACAGTGGCTAGAGCGCTGGGCCTGGGGTCGGCCCCCATCTCAGACACACACTACTGTATGACCCTGGGTAAGTCACTTCAGCTCAGTCAGTGCCTCCGTGTCCTCATCTGTAAAATGGGGGACTAGACAGAGATGAAACAGACCCTGCCCTCAGGCAGGTTCTGGGGAAATGACATGTGCCCATGAGTAAAGAGACGGATGGGGATGAGGCACCAGCACCCAGGAAGACCAGGAAACGCTTCGTCTTGGGGGGGGTGGTTGGTGTCTGACCGAGCCTCAGGAGACAAGGGAGAAGGGGGCAACGGGGCAGAGGCACAGAGGGAGCCGAGGGGTGGCCGGGATTGGAGCCAGGTGACCGTCAGAGTCCCTGAGGAGCTGAGGCTGAGAAGGCCTTCTGACCCCACGGTTATGCTGCTCTGCGACTTGTCCGACGTCATACAGCAGGCCCCCCATCTCCAGCCCGGCCTCCATCCCCCACATTCTGCGTCGACCTTAAGATGGTAACTGCATGATTTCCCGGTGTCTCTCTTGAGCGCAGCCCCTCTGGGGAGGGTGACAAAGACAACCCCCACCCCACCCCCTGCGCTGTCCAGAGGTCCGAGAGCAGAGCTCTCCCACCCTCACATCTCTGACCACACTTTCATAGTTGTGCTGAGTATGGGACCGTGAGACTTACGGCCAGAGTCAGATTCTGACAAGAGGCCAGAAGGACAAGGTGCCTCCAGAAGGGCCTTCCCCACTCACCCTCCCACGGTCAGCACTGGTCAACTGGGGATGAGAAGCTGAGGCCCATGAACGTGAGGAAATATTAATGCCTTAAGGAAATGGCAAATATGAAGAATTCGGGGCCACGGTCCCAGGGAAGAAAGCAGAACCAAGAGATTATGGACACACGATGACAGAGATTATGGACACACGATGACACAAGCGAGCTTGGAACACGTTCAGAATTCTAGCCAACGCAGCGACCGCTCACGATCACAGAGGACAGACGGGTGGGGGACCACGGGGGCTGAACGAGGCATACACAGTGAGACTTGAGCAATGAGGTACTTTGCTTTTCCTTAACCATGTTTCCTCTTTACAAGGGAGGGCAGCAAGGTGTTACTGGGACATGACGCCAACCTTAAAAATTAATGATAAGATATATCATAAAAATAAAAAGAGCACAGTCACGCTCCTCGCTCTGCTCCTTATTAGCTGTGTGAGTATGGCACGTCCCTTAACCTCGTTGAGACTGAGTTTCCCGATCGGTAACAAGAACAGCGGCTCACCTTACGATTAAAGGAGAACCTAGGGATCGTGTCTCTCTAGATGGGAAGGCGCTTCCCATCTGAGGCCAGGGCAGTAAACAGACTGGCCCAAGGTCCTACAGGCCGGGAAGTGCCAAAGGCAGGACTCACATCCCCCGACCCCAGAGGCCGGGTGGGCTTCTCCCCAGCATGCCAGAAGCAGGGCTCCTCGTCTGAGTCTCACATCCGCCTCAAGCCTGGGCTCCACCAAGGGCACCTAGTATAGGCAGCTTTCCTGGCTGCAGGGGCAGTTTCCTCCCCTTCTCCTGGGCCAAGACAAAGCCGCGAAGGGCCCAGAGCCAGTGTGCCCCTGGGACACCCGCTCCTCATTCAGGTTCTCTCCAGGCTTTAATGATCGCTCGCACTGATCATCAGTCCTCACAGCCAGCATCGGCCCCATTTCACAGATGAGTAAACTGTGCCTGGAGAGGCCAAACAGCACCCCCACAACTGAAGGAGGAAAACACCCCAGCCCACTGCCCACTCACCCGAAAGCCACCGCCCCGGCGATGGCCAATCCCAGGGCGGCCGACTTCCCCCGCCCGCGGGCAGCTGTGAGCGCCACCGTGCTCCTCAGCGTCTTCTCTGAGATGCCCTCGATGAACTTCAGGACGGCCCTGGCCTACGGAATGAGTAGAGATCGCCAAATTACCTCAGAGTGTGGGCTCGCGGGGGACCCGTGCCAAGACTGCGGAGAAGAGTCCGTCTCCTGGGCCTGGGGACTCTCCCGCCCTCCCACAGGAAGGAAGAGCAGATGGGTCAATCTGGAGAATGCGCCCTCAACAAGGCAAGACGAACCGCTAATGATGATAGCGATCCATCGATCAACAAACTGATAAAGCACCTACTGTGGGCCGCCGGGGACATAAAGAGGAAAAAGACCAGATCGGTCCCTGACCTCGAGGAGCTTCCAATCGAAAGGACGAGGATGGAGGCATTTACACAGCGCTTCAGCACTGCCAAAGCCTTTTTTACAAATATCACATTTGATCCTCACGACGCTGGGAGGTGGGTGCTATTATTGTCCCCATTTTACAGATGAAGAAACTGAGGCAGACTGACGTGACATGACTTGTCCAGGGACACATGACTAGCCAAGCATCTGAGGCTGGATTTGAACTCGGGTCTTCCAGACCCCAGGTCCAAATGACAACTTCCATTAAGGACAGAACGTGGCAGTTACAAAGTGCCCTCAGTGCCCTAGGGACTCACCCGAGGCAAGCAGGGTCCACCCGCTTCACAAATGAGGAAACAGAGGCACAGTGACGCCCAGTACATACCAAGGTCACGTGGCTGGGACCCAGGTCTACTGAGCCCACGCAGACTCGGGTGTGAATCCTGCCTCTGAATCTCACTAGCCATGTGGCCATGGCCAAGTCAAATACGCCCCAGGCCTCAGTTGTCTGGGCCCCCCTCTTTCAGGAGGTGTCGTGAGGGCCTAATGGATACACCAGGAATGCTACAGAAATGTTAACGGTGACTCTGGTGAGGCATCGTGGAAACCCAAGAGGGCGACGCTGTTAACGAAAAGAGCGCGAGCAGACCTCGTGAAGACAGCACTGGGGAAAGGGAGCCGCCGGGGAGCCGGGGGCCTTGGCGGAAAGGAGAGTCCCACCCCCTCCCCTCTTCTCCAAGGGCCTCTGGGGCCCAGGAGGCCTCGCGGCGGAAGCCCCGGCCGCTCACCTGGTCCAGCGTCTTGCAGCAGTCCACCAAAACGCCCACGGGCTGGGTGTCCTGCAGGCTTTCCTTCAGCTCTTTCAGCTCCAGGTCTGAAGGGGACAGGTCATCGTCCTGCCAGGGAGAGGGAAGAGAGGCCGGTGACGCACGCCGATGACGCACGCCGCCCCCGCCGCGGAGGCTCCCGGGGCTGCCCGCTCACCTGGGTCTTTCGAGGCAGGGCCTGGATGTTGGCTGTGTGGCTGGAGATGGGCAGGATGTTGAGCTGGTCATCAATGACGATGCAGTTCTTACAGGAGGCCAAGGAGAGGATGAATCTGGCCAGGAGAACAAGGAAGTGTGCCTCAGCTCCCCGGGGCTGCCCCCTCCCAGCTGGGCTCACTTCCAGGCACACGGAGCTTTCCCATGGCCTCCACATCCCTCCAAGCACAGAGGAAGCCGGACTGAGTGGAAACTGAGTTCTGAGGTGACATCAGAGCTGGACTGGCCCCAGTCCTGGCTCTGCCACTAACCAGACAACTTAACTCCCCTGTCCGCCTCAGTTTTCTCATCTATGAAATGAGGACAACAGCAGCTAGCATTTCTATAAGGCTCTAAGGTTTATAAAGTGCTTTATCGACATTTATCTCATTCAATCCTCACACAATCCTGGGAGGTAAAGGCCATTATCATCCCCACTTTACAGATGAGAAACTGAACTGAGGCAGGCAGAAGGGAAGTGACTTGCCCAGGGTCATACAGCTACTACAAGTCTGAAGGGGGATTTGAACTTGGGCCTCCCTGACTTCCAGCACTCTATCCACAGCACCCCCTAGCTGCCAAATTGGGGGATACGTATCCGTCTACTACACAAAGTTATTCAGAGGATCGAATGAGACCCCTTGGGCATCCCAGGACGACTGAGGGCTCAGCGGCCTGGGGTACTGAGGGGTCCAGGGACATGCCCAGTCATACAGGCTGTGTGTGTCCGGAGTGGGACTCAAACCCTGACCTTCCTGCCAGGCTACGACGCCCCAGCACCTCTGACTTCCACACTTTCATGCTTACACGTCACCTCATCTGAGGCTCCCCGTCGGCCTTGCCTGTTGAGAGCTTTTAGGACCAAGGCTTGGCCATCCAGTGTGAGAGCTGGCCATTTCACATGCGTATCTAACGGGGCTGCCACAGACGCTTTCACCCAAGCCACCGATAAAAGGGACTGTTCGGTGGTGACTGAGTCATGCTATGTCACAGAACGTCACAGGATGGGAGTGCTGGAACCAGAGATGACTTAAGTCAAGGTCACCAAGGCCCCGAAGGACACTCCCTGAACTGCCCGTCTCCCTCGGCACACACAAGCTGTCTGTCGGTCCACCCGTCCTCCAGGAGTGAAATGCTCTCCCTCTCCACCTTGGCCTCTCGGCATTCCCAGCTCCTTTCAAAGGCTCAGCTCCAACACCCCCTCCTACAGCCTTGTCTAAAGACCTCCCTTTTTAATTTACATTCAATAAGGAGGCAGGCATCGTCACACAGTGGGGAAAAAATAGACCAATCTTCCTTCAGAGGGTCTGGGTTTGAATCCTGACATGCCATTTCCTACTTGAGTCAGAACCAAGACAGAAGCCCAGGTCTCCTTACTACCCGAGCCAGACCCCTTCCACTGTATACGCTGCCCCCCCCCGTTAATCTGGTTAACACTGTTGTTATCTTTCTAAAGGATCATTATCTTGGACGTCCACAGTGCTTTCCTCAAACCAGGTCGAAGCTTCTGGCGAGATTCAAGACCCCAAATACCCGTCGTCCCCACGAGTCTGCCGAGCAACGTGACCCAAAGTCCCACCTCTCATTGAACCTTCCCACCACGTCCTGATGCGCCTCCGTCCGGTAGCGGGAATGCACATCCTGGAAGGACAAGAGAGGTCTGTCAGCAGGTAAGGAGAAGCCTTCCAGGGCCATGTAGCTCTGACCTCTCCCTTCCCCCTGTTCTCACTGATACCAGCCCTCACTGCCTCCGGCCTGGACTACGACGGGCACCCCTCTCCTCCTCCCTCCATCCATCCCGTAGACTACTGCTCAATCTACAGCCCTGCTGCAGAGCTGGACAGCAGTATCGCGTCACGTTCTCCTCAAACACCTTCTGTGGCTCCCTACTGAATCGAGACCACACTCTGCCCCAGACACTCAAGGTCCTCCGCATGACTCATCTCCCATTATTACCCTCTCCCCACACCTCCTCTCATCCTCCCCAGCACACCCCATGCATCTGCTATGCAAGCCCCTGTGCCCAGAAGGCCATCCCTCTCCGACACTTCAGCTGCAATGCTCACTCCTCCGCAGCAGGCCCTGAAGCCCGGGAGGTCAGGAATGGCCTTCTCCTTCTGAGCTCACACACCCCCAAACGAGGAGAGCTTGCAATAAGTGAGACGTATTCTCGTTCTCTGTGTCTGCACCTTCTCTCCCCACTGGACGTCCGAGCTAAATGCTCCAGCCCTCACCGAGCTGCATGCCCTGCACGTTGGCTAAACTGAAGTGATGGAGGAAAAGAAGATCCTGCCTCCTAAGCGTCTACTCAATACACCCCCAGGCATTTAGGAAGGGCTTAGTACTCCAGCCAGACAAAGGGGTAGGTTCAAGGGGCCTTAATCTTCATGGGAGGACTCCTCACAGCTAGGGGTGAGGGAGGAGACGGCCAAAGGCAGAGACAGAAGTTGGAGCACCACATACAGGGAATGTCAACAAGGCTAATTAAGCTGGGCAGAGGAATGGGCCAAGGAGAGTCACCTGTGAACCCCAGGATGGGCAGGCTGAAGCCAGGCTGGGAAGTTTTTCTTTGATCCTCAAGGTAATAGGGAGCCATGGAGGCTTGCGGAGCAGGGGAGGGACATGGGCAGATCTGTGCTCTTAGAGATGGTGATTAAATGCGTGACTGCTGACAAGGTCACAGAGAGAGAAGAGAGCCTGGGACAGGCCTGGGGACAACCCCAGTGACAGGGATGATAAGTGGGCAAAGGAGATGGAGAAGAGGAAGAGAGTTAGGAGGGAGCAGGGCCCGAGCCCGAGTCTGGGCTGGGCCTCATATCAAAGGTCAAGCCGTCAGATCTGATCATGGTGCTAGCGTCTGAGCAGAGACAGGGCCTCCCACAGCTGGCTCAGCACAGTGCTCCCCCGCCCCCCACAAGGCCTGCGCTGACACCACGGGCTCACCATAGTCATGGTGTACAGCTGTTTGAGGGAATTCATGGTCCGCAGGAGGATCACGATGATCCCGCCCCCTTCCACTGTTTCCACCGTCCGCGCCAGCAGGTTTGGGGTCAGGGCTTCAAAATCCTAAGAGGAGAATCAGACGCACAAACACTACTCATCCAGAAGCCCAACAAGGCCCCAGGGCAGCCTGAGGACGGATCCCCCTCTCCAACCGCAGCTGGGACAACAGACTGCCCACTCGTCACGGGGCCTGGAGGGGTTCTGCGCACCGGCCACAGCGCAGCCCTGCCTGCATCGCAGCGCCCAGGCAGGGAGGGAGCGGAACGCAGAGCTGCACACTGAGCTTGATGTAGGGAGCACGTTTCCCCATCAATAATGTGCTGAAACGGGAGGGAAACAAGCAACAGTCCCCATTACGCACATACACGTGCATACACACAAATGATTTTGTTAAGAGAATGTATATGTTACACACGTTATTATAAGCACTTTGCAAGCAGAGCCTATCGTCACCATCCTCTGGATGAGACAGCCTGTGCTCTGGGGTGACAGCTATTCCCTCAGATGCTTCTGGGGTAAGAGGCTGACTTGCCCAGGGTCACACAGCTGACAAGTGTCGGAGGTGGTACGTGAGCCCAGGTCTCCCTGACTCCCAAGACCAGAGCACTGTCCTAGCTGCCTTGAGGATAGTCCCCCGTCTGCCTGCCAGCCAACACTCTGTGTGTGTGTGTGTGTGTGTGTGTGTGTGTGTGTGTGTGTGTGTGTGTGTGTGTGTGTGTGTGTGTCCCCACCTCCCCGCAGGCCCCATGCATGGCCAGGCCCAGCGGGCCACATTTCCACATGGGCCAGGTGCGGACTGCGCCGTTACCTGCAGCACGCACATGCCGAAGGTGTTCCCCAGTATCTTATGTGTCTCGTTGTAGTAGCAGTACCGGATGTTGGTGGCCGCGACAAAGAGCTCAAAGGGATCATCCTGCTTTATGTTCAGCATTCCACTCTTTATCTTCTTCTGTAACTGCCTCATCCTCTTCTTGCGGTGACTGCAAAGAGAAGCCGCCAGCATCTGTGAAGCGTGTGGTGGGCAGCACAGCCCCCGACCTGATGCTCTCAATGGCCCTCTCACCCCCATTTTAGAGAAGAAACAGTCGGAAATGGGGCATGATCTGCCCAGGTCACTACCTACTAAGCAGGATTCGAACTCAGACACTTGCCACAAGTATAACTCTGGGCAGGTCACTTTGCCTCTGCTTGCCTCAGTTTCCTCAACTGTAAAGTGGGGATATTAACAGTACCCACCTCCCAAGGGTCACGGTGAGGCTCAAATGAGGTATGCTATTTGTGAAGCACTTGGTAAACCTTACATCATCTACAGGCCCAGCCACTGCAGTTCTTCTAATGGTTAGAAGGAATGGGGAAGCTGCGGCCTTGAGGTCACATGTGGCCTTCTAGGTCCCTGGGTGCCACCTTCTGTTTTTCTTTTTCTTTGGTTGGGCAAATGGGGTTAAGTGACTTGCCCAGGGTCACACAGCTAGTAAGTGTCAAGTGTTTGGTCTGAGGCTGGATTTGAACTCAGGTCCTCCTGAGTCCAGGGCCGGTGCTCTATCCACTGTGCCACCTAGCTGCCTCTCTGCCTTTTGACTGAGACCAAGTTTTACAGAACAAATCTTTCCATTAAGGGGATTTGTTCTGTATATGTGTATGTTCTGTATATGGCCTCCAGGCCGCAGGTTCCCCATCCCTGTAATCTTAAGGTCAGACATCTCGAAAATTGGGAGAGGGACTGCACCAGACAATCCAGGAGGCTCCAGGCCTATGACACAATTATGAGGATTAGAGAAAAGAAGAAAGGGGTCAGGCTTACCTGCTGAAACCTAGTTCCTTTTTATAACACCATAACACAGACGGCCTGGCCCTCACAGCTGCTTTAGACAACATATGATGGAGTATGACCACCTGCCAAAAGGAGGAGACAGCAGATCATTGGGATGGGAAAAAATGAATGGAGACCATCTAAGTCACAGGGGGAGGAAAAAAATGATATCTCTGAAACCCCAAAGAAGCAAAAGTCAATCAACTGATAAACATTTATTAAGCACCTACTATGTGCCAGGCACTGTGCTACTTGGCAGAGATACAAAAAGAGGCAAAAGACAGTTTCTGCCCTCGAGGAGCTTACAATGAAATGACAGAACAGAGAAATGTATATTAAAGATGATGCTGTAAGTGTGAGGGTCTAGGAAACGTAGCAGGCAGGTGGGACAGTTGGAGACAGAAGATTTTAGTTGTAAAGGTGTCTAAATTCACCCGTTCTGCCCCCATGCCTGGAATGTTCTCCCTCCTCAACCTTTTCAGTACTCTGCCTAGTCATCACCTTCTCCAAGACGCCTTGCCTGATTCCGGTCCCCCTCCCTGAATTATTCTGTATCTGTATCTCCCCAACAGGATATCCTAGAGAGCAGAAACTGTTACCCTTCTTGCCTCTGTGTTCCCAGTGCCTGGCACACAGTAGGCCCATAGCATATGGCTGAGTGATCGATTAGATCTCATGACTTCAGAGGAAGTCTCATGCCCTCTTCAGAGGAAGGCTTCCACCCACCTGCTGTGATTCAGTCATAAGCCTAAATGGACCCCAAAGTTGCTGAAGCAGCTGCCACCAACCCCCTGGGCTTTAAGCCACAGGCCAAAACCATCCTTGGCCTGTCTGTCCTATGGTTCTATCTTCCACATGAAGTTTACAGAGTCTAATGGGATTAGGATCAGGTAAATTCTTGTTATTTAGGTTCAAGACTAACTGGAGACACAGGAATCAAGCCTTCCTCTCTTCCGGCCTCAGTTTCCTCATCTATACAATGAGGGCATTGGGATAAATGATCTCTAAGGTCCTATCTGGCTCTCAATCCCGTAAGCCTTAGAGAACCAGTGGGAATTGAGGCTTAGAGATGGAAAATTGTTCCTCTAAAGCTACTCAGCTATTTAGCTGCACAAAAAGGACTGGAGCCTAGGCCCCCCAAAATCAGATTCTACCCAGATTCAAAGACCATTTCCTTGGGGCAGAAAGCACATCTGCCATCACAGGGAAAGGAAGAAGATCTGTCTAAGATTCTGCAGGGGGAGGTGGCGGATTTCCTGACAGTCCTTGACACTGTCCCTCCTCTCTGCCAGAGACCTTGGACAGTTCTCAGGACATGATGCCACAGACCAAGGCGCCCGGCTCTCACCTGATCCTTCCCACGGTCCCCCACGAGGACAAACAGAGACCTCTGCCGCTCTGCCACCCCATTCTCTATGAGGACTCGAATGCGGTTGTCCACCTTCTTCCTCTGCATGGTGAAGGAGAGCCCTGAGGAGAAAACAGGCACAAAGGGGACACTGAATCAGCCTCTAACAAAACAGGAGGCCTTCTCTAGGACCTGTCTCCCTCCTCTCCCCACCCTGGGGTCTGGCATCCTAACACTGAATCCAGGTGTGCAGGGGGTCACTGCACCTCCAGCTTAATGAGCTGGGCAGCTCATATCGAAGGCCTGCCCAAGCTCGCCCAGAACAGACCCCAAGGGCCCCAGGGACAGCCAAGCCCAGGGATCTTGATCTGCCTCCCGTGTGCGTGCCCGGGTGAAACTCAGAGAAATGACAGCCTCTAAAGAAACATCTCTAGGTGCGATTATCTTCCCTTTACAGATGGGGAAACTGAGCCGGGAGCGGGGCTGGCAAGCGCTGGGAGGCACAAACAGGCATCGAGTGTCACCCGCGCACTCCCCTGAGCTCCGCCGCCCGGCCCCGCCCACGTCACTGCTGGGGGGGTCAGGGCGGGGCCAATCCCTCCAGGAGGGGCTAGCGAAGCGCCCCCTCCCCCAATCTCTGGGACTCCCAGGGGGGCAGAGGCAGGGTAGTCCGAGGAGTTACCGGGGGTAACCTCGGCTCCCCTCCCCCTCCCTAACAGGACCAAGAAGGCCGAGTCCGACTCCCTTACTTTACAGGCTAGTAAACTGAGGCAAGGGGGGGCACAGTTAATGGCTTTGAAGCTGAGAATCCCGGGAGCGCGCTTCCCAGGCTCGGCCCTCCCCGGTCATCCCGCGGACAGCGCGCTCCGAGTTACGGACGGGCCGGTGCCTCTTCCGGCAGCCCGGGCGCCCAGCCTCGACCCCACCCCCCGGGGAGGCGCCCCGCCCGACCCCACGCCGCCCTGGACCCCCGGTACCTCTAGGGCGAGCACAGCCTGGCCCAGCGAGCGCCGCTTGGGGCGAACGAGCTGGAAACACGTGGAGCGGGCCGCACGTGCGCAGGCGCCACCAGAAGGAAAGCCCCCGAGCCCTCAGAGGCGGCGCGGAGGCCTAGAGCAGCGGCGCGCAGACCACGCCCCTCTTACGCCCTCGCGAGCAGGCGTGAGCAGGCGGCCCCGGGGCGACACTCGCGGGCCGATGGGGACCTAGCAGGATCGCGTCGCCCGTCTGTGACGTCACGCACTCCTCCAATAGAGGTGGGGCATGGCGAGAATTCCTCCACACTGAGGCTGCGCAGAGCCCGGGTGCCAGGAAAGCGTTCTTCTTCCGGGTCCAAGCTTTCACTTACCTCCGCTGGCTTCCCCTTCTCTCTGGCACAAAGCACAAATTGCTCAGCTTCACATCCGAAGGACTCCAACCGTATTTCCAGCCTTCTTTCCCAGTATTCTCTCTGCCCTGCTTGACTTTCTCTTTACCACCTCCCGACCTTTGCACTCGCGCCGGCCGCCGTGCACTCCCTCGTGGCCTCTGCCCCATACGTCCAGGCCCCCTTTGAAGCAGGCGGCGTCTCTGCGGAGATAGATTGGGCTGGGGGAGAAGCAAGGGGGCAGGGCCGCCAGCAGGACCCGGCCTCCGTCCGTTGGCCCCCGGGCACTTGGCCCGTCCGTGCGGATTCGTGCTTTCGCGGCAGGGTCCTAACGAAGGGGCGTCCGACGCTCCAGGGCAGCTGCCCAGCCGCAGGGCCGAGCCTGGTCTTTTTGCGTTGTTCCAATCGGACGCAGTCCCGGTACCTAGCTGCGAGGAGTGGGGACACCGAGCACTTACCACGCCGGACAACTTTACTCCCCTCCCCACCCCATTAGTCCGCATCCCTGGACTTACTGCCAAAGTCCAGAATTAAAGTTAACCAGTTACAAAGTGAGGTGGGGACCAACAGCCACATTCCTCGAACACTGGAACCCAAATGGCCTCAATTCCTTCATTAACATCCCGAGTCTATTCAGGCCGAACCCCAAGTCCCCTAGTACCACTAGGCGCTTGAACACCGACGCTACACATTGGTCGGTTTGAAATAGCAACTCAAAGCCATGGGGAGGGCGCTATTGGAACAAGGGTGTGTTCATTGCTCCTTACTCATCCCTGTAGCTTCCGCTTCCGTTCTTAGAAAGCTGCTGGAGAACGTCAATCTGTCCTTTCCTCAGAACCTTGTGTAGAAGGAGGTCCACCAGAGGTACCCCTATATGTTGCCTTATCCATTTTCTCAGCAGGTTTTCAGATAACTTCTGTTAATGAGCTCCCAGGACATTCAACTTCAAAATACTCCTAAGTGTAAGTCTCTTAACATTGTAGTACGCACAATGGGGACATAAACAAGCTTCGGAAACGGATTACTAGTTACAGTAGTTGTAAAGGTTCTCCCTATTCTTTGAGGAAAAAGATCAGGATGCCAGGAAAAAACCCAGCCCTGACCATGGCATGTCAACTACATTCAACTACCTCAAGCTAAATAAACCCAATGCTCCTCGAGGCAGTTAGGGGACTTGATAGTGCCCATCTACAACCTCTACCAATTCCTAATTCACTGACTTGTGGTAGACCTCCAGCTGCCTAAGATGTCTTTTCCGTTGCCGTTGGTGAATAGGTTACAGCTGACGAGAGCCGACCCAAGTGGGTGCATACTGACTTGAGTTAAAAAACGACATTTTTGTCAGGGCAACCTAACCACGATATGTAAAAATTGAAACCAATTCCCACTAACCGGACAAGTTTTCCAATTGCGAATATGCAAACTACTTCAAAAATGGTCTTAAAGTCGTTGGGTTCAGAGGACCTTACAACCAAAATGGGTCTAACAAAACACGTTCTTAAGCTAAATAGTCATTGTAGGCCTCTCCAGTTTGATACAATTTGCCAGACTTCATAATTGGTATAGCCTTCAAGAACACCATGTCACCACCATACCAAGATGAGGCGTCCACAGAGAATTGCATGCTTCATAAAAAACAGCACTGCTGTAAATTCACCCCTTGATGAATGAGCCTTAAAAATCTTTACTGATACGAATTGGTACATGAAAGAAAATCAGTTTTGAGGTGCAAAAAGTGCCCCCTCCTTCCTCCAACCTAAACAGAAAAGCTTAGCGCCTGCACCTGTGCACATCTGTGCATGTGTCTCTGACAGACATCAGTGTCTTATCAAACTGATCAACTTGGGTTCTGGATCCCTGGGGGAAGATGGAAAGCACTATCTCATCATGTTAAATGCCCTGAATCTTATTCAAAAACAAACCCTGTGAAGGCACCTTCTACACAGGCAGCAGTTGTTTCCCATAAGAATGTTAGGTATTGTGTTATTTATAGATTGCCGAATAAAATCCACTATTTAACAGCACTTACATAATATATGGTTGTGGTACATCCTTGCCAGATATGATTTAATTAGGGGGAAAACTGGCCAAGAAGCCTTTCTTGCTTAAGTAAACTGATAACCCTTCCAATAAGATGTACCACAACCAAAAATGAGAAAAGACAGGAACTTATTTTATTTTAAAATAAACATTGAAGACACCCCCCCACACACCCCCTTCAACCCCAGCCCCTTTACAAAACTTCTGAATGTGGAATGTTCTCAAGAGTCCTTCAATAGCCTATCATTTTAGTAGATTACAAGGTCAGCAAAAATCCAGTTTTCTAACAATGAGTGTTTTAAGAATGGTTTCAAAAATTAAAGTAACTGAAAACCTATTTGTCAAATTACTGAGCTGAAGGCTGAAAATAAAATCCAGTCTCTGGACTACAAGTATCATTAACTTAGCAGCCTTTGCTTAACACAAACGATTAATTCAACATGAAGCCAAAGTGTGATGCAACAGCAAGCAGCAGAGAAGTCCACAGGCATGTCGAAGTACAGCTAGCACTCCAACTGCGCACACGAGATCCACCAACATGGCATGAGAAAGGCTAAGTCACTACTGAACGAGCTCCCTCACATAACAGAAGAGATCACTACTGTGGGAAAGACCAATGCCTTGAGGAAGAAAGAACTGAACTCCATTCATGTGGATTATTCAAGAGAAAGTGGTAAATGCAGGTACACAACAAAAGCTGTAGGAAAACCTCAGTGGAACAGAACATAACTGAAATTTCAAAGAGACAATGAACAACTATATGATGATCTCAGCCATGTACGTGAGCTGCTCGACACCAGTGTTCCAGGATACAATTTTTATAAACACGTTTTATTTGTTTTAATTATACCATTAGAACTGAAACTGCTGGCTGTCATTTCCCTTAAAAGGGGAAATCGATCCAAACACATACTGGTGCTTTTCAAAAGATAGCAATTAAAAGGGTGGCAGCGGCAGGCATTTGATATCTTTTTTCTTTTAAAAACCTTCAGGCTGCAGAAAGAGACATGTGACCAAAAGTGTTATGATTATCCATTAGAGATTTCCATCAGTACCTGTACCAATTATTTAGATGACAATACAGCAAGGTCAAGTATTAGTGACAGACAATGTGCATGTCATAAGGAATGATAAATATATAGTACCAATCCTTACAAAAGTCATTGCTATCAAAGAAACTGTTAAATGTGTTCCAAAAGGTATCTAAATACTTCACATTAAATACAGAAGCGACCATCCAGATTACATCCCATATTTGTTGCAGATTTTTTTAAAGTGCCAATCAAAGCCTAATTTTGCATTTTGGCTTTGTCTTGTACAATATCAGCTGTTACAAAGCAATTTATGTGTATATACTTTTAACCACAGTAGTTTGGCCTGGTGATGAATAGTGCCATATCAAAGGTAGTCAGCTTTATTTGTGTAATTAGGGACCCATGCATCTTTTAGTATGCATCTAAACGTTCACTGCTCCAATTTAAACCAGAAAAAGCTGTGAAATGCAGTCTCTTTGCCAAACCACACTCCACTCTTTCCATCTTCCTTTCATGGGAAATATTTTAGTTTTTGTCAATTACCATCAAAACAACAACTCTAGGGTTGATTTGCCGATTTTATCCAATGTCAAAAATGAGTCAATCTTGCTTTTTTTCCAAGCCACTTCAATCAAATAACCATGGAGATCTGATCACCCCGAAAGTGTATGTGTTTTGCTTTGCTCCTAAGCAAGGGTGAGGAATCTGAGTATCATGTGCAAGGCTCAAGATGACGCTTAGGACAGAACATGCAGAGTAAAGATCGTTTCCTTCCATATCCAGGTAACATAAAGCTGACAACTCTAGTCCTGTCTTTATGGGGTGAAAACAGTCCCTTTACCAATGAGTTTCCTGAAAGGGAGAACAAATAGATAATAACTCTTCTGGTAACATGTTATGGGACACTGGCCAGTGTGTTTTTGGCGTTTTAAACATAATCCTGTGAACCAGTTTAATTCACTTGCTGAGTGTTCATTGGCGGCATCCCTCGGTTGGGTCTTGGGGGCCCTCCGCGACCTGTAAAACAAAACAAAATAGGTTAGGTCTCTCTCATACACTTGTATTTCAATTTCTTTTTCAAGACAAAATTCCAAAAGACAGACACAAGCATGAACTGGCAGGCCCAGGGCTAGAAGCCCATTCCTCAAGCCCTTCTCCATGTACTGAAGATTCCTCTTTTATAGACTGTCCTGTACATGTTTAATCAAAGCTCTTCAACTCAACTGATCAATACGGAGTTTGTTCCACCAAAAAATAAAAACGAAGCAAATAAATACTTTCCAAATATCAACACCAAAAGGAAAAGATGGTATCTTTTAAGAAGAAAATACACAGCATCCACTTACAGTAGGATTGTGTTGCTGTGCAACAAAGCTGCAAACCTAGGTTCTCTGCTATTACAATCAGGACCAGGATGGTTTAATGCTGAGTTAGTTCACTTTAATTTGTTTAGCTAACTAGCTCATACTTATTAAACACCCGGACGCAGGGAAAAAGAAAAGAATCCATTTGCAAGTATAAAAACCCTGTGGCATACTCACCCATACAGTATGGTTACCGAGGTAATTCTCAACTCATTTCTTCTTTCCAAAAGGTGTTTTATAATGGAACTGAACATTTTCAGCAATGACTACA